GCCGCTCGTTTGTCGCCCCAAAAGGCGTCTTGCTGGTTTCACTAAAATGAAATGCACAAATACATGGATAGTTGTAGAAAAACACGGAACAAATAGTGCATGGACGCGTTTCGAATATTAAATTTTCATCAGCATGACATAACCACAAATAAAACGAGATATCTTGTTTTCTTTGTGGGTATATCATGTTGATGAAGATTTAATAATCGAAACGCATCCATGCACTATTTGTTCCGTGTTTTTCTACTTGTCTCTATCAATTATATACAATGGATAGTTGTGTAAATCCCTTCAAGGAGGATCCCTAAATCTCAATGATTAAGGCAAAGGTCAATGCACCAAACGCTTCTTACGAATTTCTTAACCCATTTATGCCCAGGAATATTGACCATCATGAAAATCGATGAAATCAAGATATGTTACGCTTCTACCAGGGCCTTGCATGGAATCGAAAATAATTTTTGCCGGCAGCAAAAGATTTTCGAGAAAAACGTAAAAAACGTGCGTTGCGAAATCGCAACGAAGGGCACACCGGGCGCCATCAGCGTTGCGAAAACGCAACGACGGGCACATCAGACGGACATAAAGTACACTAAACCGCCGTATATGCTAGTTTGTTTTAACATATAATTCACCAACTGTTGACAAATATTGCTGGAGAATGCGGAACCCACATCCCTCATGCTTTATTACCCGCCTAAGAGCCTGAATGAGGGAGCATAACTTAAGGGTTCGCGAACGGGAAGATGGCAACAAACGGTCATTATCAACAATTGCCCATTTAAAGTACCTAGTGGTTGGCAGTTGGCACGTACGTACACTGGGCGGTGCTTTCTTTTTGGAAGCTAGACAGAGCCATTAGCCCATTACCCTCTCATATGAGAACCCCAAACAGAAAACAATTTAACCGAGGATTGGGAGTAAACCTGTGCCTCGCCTAAGCGCCTATCCGCAATACCATTGTTAACCGCCCTCCTAGGAGTAAAGTTAAATTCAAATGCAGGGTAGTCATGCCTACTCTTAGCAAAAAAAAAATGAACCTATCCGGCTTTCACAAATTACCCGCGTAAGGCGTAGCGCGTCATAACAACTCGGCTTAAAGTGTCTCCCAGGACCCATCTTATCACTTTTACACCTAATACAAAATTGTCATTGTCCCACTCTCAGCGACCTTCACTTGTAACCTCTCTCTCTCTCTCGAGACAATGCCAGGGCAGACCAGTGATTCGAACGCAGTTCACACTTTCCAAGTGTTCCGTTAATCCGTCCTTTCCATCTTCAGGATAGTAGAATCCTTCTCCTCCATGCCTCAACCCCTGTTTCGAGCTGGACGGGCAACTATATCGCATTCGAGCAGCTCCCATAGGAGCACAGGTCTGTAGCCGGATGCAGTAAGTGCTTGGGAAGGGGGGGGGGGGTGGGGCTGGTTCATGGGTGGCCTGGATGGATGGGCTCAGCCTCGACGATTCACCATGCCCGCTCAGACCAATGTTTTCCCTGATTCCAATAATGCTTCTAGCTCTAAAATGGTCTGATTAGACAGGCCTACCCTCAGTAAACAAACAAGCAATGCTTCACATCAGCCACCTTATCAATCCGTGCAAACCATGAATTCTAAAAATCAACTATTATTTTTCCAGACGCCCTCATCACCCCTGCCGAAGGGGTCTGTTGCCCCCCCCCCCTCTCGAGGGGGCATATCCCACATTTGCCGACTCTGGGAGTTATCTTTTCTAACGTAAGGGTCAGCGGATTGTATCCAGAGAATGACAATGCCTATCTGTCGTCTGATACCAGACTACGTATGTCCCCATTATTTAGTACATAGTAGATCCAATTTTCAAAGTACCTCGCTATCTCTCAGCTCCGTTAGCATCGCCGACCGTTTGATGCAGGTCCTTTTCCTACCATACGATTTTCAGATGCTCGAAAACCCATTGCAGTTAGTGAACAGTCCGATAATCTGCGAGAGAAAAAGAAATGAGTGTTTGATAGCCGTTTAAGTGAGTTAATGTGAAACGTGTCGCAACATTCACGTGCAAACTGCAAATGCACCTTGCACTTTACATACCTACACGTCCCTCACGACTACAAAACGAGAGAGAGAGAGAGAGAGAGAGAGAGAGAGAGAGAGAGAGAGAGAGAGAGAGAGAGAGAGAGAGAGAGAGAGAGAGAGAGAGAGAGAGAGAGAGAGAGAGAGAGAGAGAGAGAGAGAGAGAGAGAGAGAGAGAGAGAGAGAGAGAGAGAGAGAGAGAGAGAGAGAGAGAGAGAGAGAGAGAGAGAGAGAGAGAGAGAGAGAGAGAGAGAGAGAGAGAGAGAGGAGGGAGAGAGGGAGGGAAGGAGAGAGAGTTGGGGAAGAGTGGAAGAGAGGGAGGAAGATTGGGGAGAGAAGGAAAGAACCCACAGCGTACCACAAGTGAAGTCTATTTGATGTTCCTATACTTCCGCTGCACTGCCAATTTGCCCCTCGTTGCGTTTTCGCAACACCCCTGTCTTTCCGATGTGCCCAACGTTGCGTTACCGCAACACGACTGTAGTCATATTTGAAAATAGTCACAAACCCTATTTGCAGCATAATTTGTTAATAAAATGCATATTCTAGCTATTGTAGGGACTCTGCAGAATATGTTCACACATTATTCATTACGATATAATTAATCACTTAATCTACTTATTTTGGTTTTCGTGACGTCATCACTGACGGGGCCTTCGACTTCCCTCTGGGAGCTCTGGACGGTAAGTTACCGGCCGCACAGACTTGTAACTGCGTAGCATCATGCGCACAACCATGCTAAACGCGCTGAAACTTGTCTCATCGGTGAGACGCCATTACACACTTTTCAAGATTTGATCACGTCGACGCTTGCTTGTGTTGCGAAAACGCAACGAAGGGCGTAAATGGGTTAAGATATTCCTACGAATTTTGACGTGAATACCGATTTTTGTAGATATCCAGACATTTCGTAAGAAAAAAACTTAAGAAGTGTCGACATGAATACCAAATTATACTTACGAAAGAAAATTGACTTACGAAGTCGACGTGAATACGGCCCCAGGATTCCAATTCACGGTGTTTGCATAACTGATAACAGACGGCTTCGGTGAGAATTGGATAATTCATTTTTGCCCATTTAATACATTGTATCACCACAAAACGTTGGTGAGGAACGATTCGCCAATCTTTAACCCGCGCCCTGCTGGGGGGGGGTGTTTGAACACCCCCCTTGTGGTTTTTCGCGAATATCTCAAAAACGGCGGCGCGGAGCGCCGCCGTTTTTGGTACACCTTATCATACATCAATTCTACACATGTTGTGAAAATTTCACACCAAGGTCATTCAAGGTCAGGTCACCAGGTCACTTGAAGTGACCTCACCTCATAAAAAGCTTCAATGTCTGTCATAGCTACACAGAGTGACCGATCGCTTTGAAACTTTCAGCGATTGCTAAGAGCAATAGCATGTACAAAATGTATATCTCAGAATTTTGATATCGATGACCTAAGGTCAGGTCAATTTTGCGACCTCCCCATTATAAGTCAATGGGAGAAAATTGAAATGCGCCTCTTTTGGACGAAAGACATTATAAACACTCCCAAACACCGAATTACAAGTGGTTTAGATACACAGAACATGAAAATGGTGTCCGTGACCCTTGTTTATGCCCTGAGGTCATCTTAGGTCACGAATGGTATCTAACAGTTTTTCGCAAATAACTTTTGATAGAGGCATGCTAGAGCGATGAAAACGCCTTAGATGTGTTCAGCTCGACGATACGGATCGACTGATATGCAACATGACCCTTTCCGGTCAGGTCATGACCTTGACCTGAGGTCAAATTTTCAAGTTGACCTTCCAAGGTCAAGTTATAGTTCATTCGATGCGTCTTGACGAGAGGAACACGATGCCGGTAAAAGTAAGCTCGTACAAGGCTTGGGTCAAAAGTTATTGCAGAAAAACTGTTTCCGAAAAAAATCGGCTATTTTTGCAGTTTTTGCCCCCTGCAGGCAAAACCGTTGACGTTAGGTCAAATCTGAGAGGATTACTCAGAAAGGGCGTTAATAGGGCTATCGAATGCCCTTTTCCGCGGCGCTGTAGCTCTATTGGTTCCCGAGTTATGCGTTGGCTTCTTGGAAATTTTCGACATTCGACCTGGAAATCGGCGAAATTTTGCCTTCAATGACCTCTGGTGACCTGACCTTTGACCTGACCAAAAAATTGACCGAAGTGATTTCGTCATTATTTTTGACGCTCTTTCGAACGCCGCCTTCCGCGTATCGCTACGTGGCCCAGGAGCCGAGTTACAAGGGGGGTGTTCAAACACCCCCCCCCCCCCAGCAGGGCGTGGAAATCCAGGACCCCCAGCCGGGCGCGGGTTAATATCTGCGAATGCCTCCAAGGAGATACTTAATTACACCCGGAGAGCGCCAGGGATGCCACTGTCGGACACTACCTTATCTATACGGGGTAGGAGGACTGGGTGCGCGGCGGCGGCCGATAACGTACGACCGTAACCCGGTAACGTCGCCCCGCCCGCGGCTAATGACACCGGCAGCATTGTGGCGCCGCCCGAGAGCAGCCCCCCGTCGGCCTAATCGGCTATCTGGCCGGCGCGGCGGCTCTCAGCGCCGCACGCGCGGCTCCATTAGCCGGCTCGGCGTCCGACGGTTTGTTGTCTCATCGGAGACCACTCGGCCGGCGGGCCACCGGCGCCCCGCGGGGGGCGGGGGGGTGGGGGGAGGGACTGTCCTGTCGACGAGTGGACCGCTGTGTCGGAGACGGGACACTTCGGTCGGAGAGGGAACTCCCTGAATTGGTAAGGGCTAAGGAGTTTCTCTCCTTGGTCCGCTGTGCTGGGATCGAGCCTGCTGCTCTCGGGGATCTTGATGATTTTGTGAACATCACCTTCACATTGCAGCACAATTTTCGTGGTAGTAGCAATAGACAATAGTTACATAGTTACACATATGAGGGGAAGAAGTGCGAAAGGAACATCACTTACTTGTGTCAGCCAGCAATTTGTAGTTAATATTTGGTTCCGTTCGTCCTGAAACAAAGGCAATTTTCTAGTCATAAATATTGCACATGCAACTGCAGATAATGCAGCTATGACTAAATGCAAATTGATTAACAATGTGTTTTTATAAGACGGATATGTGTAACACACGTCACTCGTCATGGCCTGGCTTGGAGCCAGTTTCGTCTGAGCAAAACTGATAAAGTTTTTGTGATACGTTATATCATGCTCCTGTCAAGGCGGCATAAATGATGAGGGTGAAGAATGGCTTTTCAAGATCGGTTCTATGCATGGTGTTTAATGCGCCAGCTTAAATCTCACATCCCTCTTCAGAAAAATAATGCATTATGCAATATGCATAGATATACCGACTTATTAATTTACACGCAGCTGAAAGGAACTTCGGTTTTGTCGTTTAACTTCGATTTCTATAGCCCAATTCTCTGTCAATCCTTCCCATCTACCACCCAACCCTCTGGCAGTGGACGTACCACGTCGATGATCTGCGTCAGCGCCATGCCGAAGGTGACGTTGAGCGGCTTGGCGGCGTCCTGCGAGGGCCGCACCGAGCGGTCGTAGTCGGCCAGTAGGTAGCGTAGCAACCGCCGCTCGTGGTCGTCGCCGAGCGCCACGTCAGCTGCGGCAGGTCACGTCACAGGGCGTCATACCGAGACATCACAGTGCAGTGGTAAACAAGGTTATTGCACAAAAAATGAGAGACGTTATTGATCAGTCCCTCACTGAAACGCGAAAACTGTATTGGAATCAATAAACATAGGTAAGTACCAAGCATTTTCCATGAACTTTTATTTACTCGGCGAGTTTATTGTCTATAATAGTGCCGATTTGACAGTTTTTTAAACGTTTGATTCAGTTCTATAGGTCAGAAGTGCAGCATAATAACTTGCACGTCTTTTTATCAAAAAGTTTCCAAACCAGTCTGCCTAGTCTATGATTCGTTTTACACGCTTTTTACACGTGAAGATAACGACGATATTTTCGTATAAATATGCAGGTACAAACGTAATCTAAAAGAAGCATGATTGAAAATGAGGATTAAAAATATATCTAGTCTTCAATGATGTGAGAAAATGGCGATCGCAGGAGCTGTGAAAACAACATTCTTTGCACTTCTGTGGTCTATCATCATCAGTGCGATCTCCGCCCAGAGCAGTGACATCGAGCCTCAGAGCCACGAAATTGTGGAAAAGAAGATCACTGAGGTGGTTGTCGAAGAGCAGCCCCTTATGATCCTGGGCGAGCTGGAACTGCGGCGGCTCGAGCCCTACTTTGCCAAGCAGGCTTGGAACTGGCGACAGCTGTACGATGTTCAGTGCACGCGCAACCCGCACCCGGGCAGCTGCACCCGCTCGCTGACCCGCTGGTTTTTCTACCCGACGTTCGCCAAGTGCTACGCCTTTCTGTACGGCGGCTGCGGCGGCACGGCCAACCGGTTCCCCTCGGAGCGCGAGTGTCTGCGCCGCTGCGTGCCGCGCCAGAGGCCGATGAGGCCGCCGCCGGCTCCCGACGAGCCCACGCTGGCGCCGCCGCCCGAGACGGGCGCTCTCAACGCCCTGCTGGCCCAGCATGACAACGAGACAGAGGCGGAGGTGCAGCGACTGGCCGAGCCGGTGACCGCGCCGGAGACCACACACGCGAACACGGCCGCTCCGGCTCCGATCGTCAGCTCGGCGCCACCGGCCACGGCACCGACCACCGCCGAGTCGACAGCCAAACCCAAGAGCAAGCGGGAGAACCCCGCCGAAGCGGGGTATGCAGAGGAACTGAACTTTGGCCAGGACGTGTATCATCTGGATCGAATTATTTTGCGCTGACTCAATCTGTACATTTGTATCTAAGTGTAATTACGTCATGTTTATAGTTTTGACAGTGATATGCATACGACCAGTCGCACATTTAGGAGCCAAAGAAGGATACCTAATTTGCTTCGGTAGTTGAGCTTTTACCATAAACTTGCAATAGGCTGGATATCGGCTTCTTTGTGCAGAGTGAAATACTAACATATTGTGTGGATGATAAACGACTAGATTTGTGCATTGCTTTTGGCTTCACAGCCCGGTATCATCGTGCAGATTGGTATGTCAGGTCAGTAACTATAGCTATGCATACCTAAATCAAGCGCAGTTATTCCTTTTATTCTTTGCTTAGGGAGTTGGCACACTGGGAAAGTGTACACCAATTACCTACACCGCAAGCTGCGTAACAATTGAATTAAAGTGAATCTACTTGGATATTGGAAAATGCACACTGCGAATGAAAATAATATGCTAAGAGCAATGTAGACAGCCTAGTCCGATGTCCTACAAAAGGGAGAGCCAGAAAGAGTGTCAGAAACATCTCGTAAGTCGTGGTAAACAGGTGGTGACGGAACCGGTAATGTGTGCACTAAGTGCACTGTGCACGGGCGCCTATGATCCGGTGTTCTGAAAGACCTATGATCTGGGCCGGAAGCAGCGCCTTTGATTTCATCTGCCGACACCTTTGATTCTGTTTGCTGGCGCCTGCGATTCCATCTGCTGGTGCCTTTGATTCCGTTTGCTGGCGCCTGTGATTCCGTCTGCGGCTGGCGCCTGCGATTCCGTCTGCTGGCGCCTGTGACTCCGTCTGCTGGTGCTTGTGATTCCGTCTGTCGGCGTCCTTGATTCCGTCTGTCGGCGCCTGTGATTCCGGCCGTCGGTGTTTGTGATTCCGGTCGTCGGCGCCTATGATCCTTCGCGGCGACAATAACGGTGCTCGCTGGAGTCGGCCACTCCCCTCCGCCCCCCCCCCGCCCTCGGCAGCCCCCTCGCCGTTCCCGGTCACAGATATATTCGTCGGCCGTCGGACCGATGAGCGATCGGGGTCAATTTGGCGGAATGCCTCCATTAATGTGGCGCCCACCGTCGGCCATCTCCATGTGCGAGTTGTTTGGTCAGCTCTCGGATGCTAGGACAGCGTCCAGTCGGAGCGGGGAGTGGGCCAGTCGATCGCGTCGGGCCCGGCTCACTAGACTGTATACTAGCTGGCAGCACAGGCCCGCTCGGTCCTCAGTGCTATCCGCCTAGCTCACCGAAAAGACCAGCGGATTCTCCACGGCTGGGACCACAGAACCACAGGACCACATAAAGATACAGAGGTCTTTGATGAAATATTGTTAAAATGTCCAAAGAAAAACTTACCTGATCCCAAGCAGACCACCATGAATATGACGATCTTCTCCATTGGACATATTCTTTATCGGCAGTCAGTTGATCTTAATGGCTGCGTGTGCAGGGATCGTCTGCAATGAACAGAGTTCGGTTACCCGGGTTACCCCAATACTAGTAGTTCTCGCACGGTAAATAGGTAAGCCACCTAGCCACTAACTTTGCTGACATGAAGTAAACGTAAACGCACAATGTAAACGCGCGCGATGTCCTTATAGATTCAAGCCATGATTCCACTCCTATAAAACGTGCTACTATAAAACAAAATCATTGTATTTTTATTGGATGTTCCAAGCGTTGGCTGGGGCCTGCGTGGGCCCGACTGTCACGCTGTGCGACTGCAGTTTCACTGCCTGGGTGTATGCCCGTTATCTACAGCGTCTGTCCGTGGAGGTAATTATGCCGCCCATGGCTGTCTGTGCCAGACGGTCATCTGCGCCCTGTCCACCCACCCCTGCGTGTATGTCTGTCAGTGGTCCGTCTCCCGTCACCTCGGACCGCGGTCCTTCTCAATATGCTCGATCGATTCCCACCAAATCCCGAGGGTCCCGACTGGTGGCCGCTTTCTCTGGCGTTGGTATCGGGGAGTCGGCCCGGCCGGAGGGGCCATTGGCCGCGCGGGCGGAGAGGCCACTGCTTGGTCAGGCGGGAGGAAGGGCAACTCACCAGATGACCAGAGCCTGGTTCAGGAGAGTTGTTATAAAATATCTGTAACTCAATGTTTCCATTCTCCCGTGCGTCGCATCGAGTGCATTTCATATGCCTAAAGCATCTTCGTCGACAGTTATAACTTCTACTTGATAGTGGTCTTTTAATGACCTCGACAGAGTACCAAATAGCACTGGCTTAAAAAAGTTCGACAGTAGGTGTCTCTTAATTTTCTCGGCATATGAACATAATGAAGTACGGCCAATTTCGCTTTCAGTTTATTGTCTTATGTTTACTCGATCGTGATTTCTTTCAAGAAATTATCGAAATATTATGCTTTAGTCTACCTATACTACATAAATGAAAGCATAGGCCGCTAGGCATTTGTGCCTATTGCAGTGGCGGTAGGTATATTTGATAAATCCGACCTTTTATCGTGAAATCGTAGACGTTTTACGCATTTTCCGTCGGGCGTTTGCACGTTGCCGTCCGTTAAAAGAAGAACAGTGTTCTTCACTCCAGCGCCCTGCCGAGCCATTGTGTCAACACCTCAGCAGGAGAGCACTCGGAGCCTTCGCGCCACTATCGCTTCACGATGCAGAACAGCGGGCCGCCGGAGTAAAATATCAGAGAACGCTGCGCCCCGTACTGACCTACCTCACAGATCGCGAACTGCGGCGCTGAGCAACCGACAATTTTTCCAGCGAGTCGACCCGATATTGACCCCGATGATTTTTATTATTATTAACCGTACCTTTAAAAGGCCGTTTTAGATTGAGGAACTGCATTTCATAAGTACGCTTATTACGTCCACGACTCTCAAGAATGCTTCCAAGAGGGTACCGTAGAAGATCAGCCAAAGCAACACCTCACAAGTGCACACTGCACATTCAGAACATGGTTTCATGGTACAGGGACGTAGCCAGGGGGGGGGGGGGCACGGGGGCCATGACCCTCCTGAAGGCGAAAAATAAAATAAAATTCAATAAGAAATAAAAATAAATAACAACAGCTGCACCACGCCCCCAAACATAGTGGGTCAAATCCGAGGAGTTTTCCTTTTTTGGAAGGGGTACGACACTATAGGCCGCGACCTGTGGCCCGTTCCTGAGTAAAATCCTGGCTACGTGCCTGTCATAATACTCACTTGACCGATCAGTTGCCTACATACGCCCCGGACCGCGACGAGGGAGTGAGCCCCCTTTATTTTACTGGAATCTCCGCACCGTATCGCCCCAATTAGGTAAACTTCGCGGAAAAGAGCGAGTGTGCCGTTACGAGGCGCAGCGACCAGTCTCCATAGCTGTCTCAGGTCAACTTGGTGACCTCTGAGCTCAATTCAATCACCGAACCCGCACTTATAGATAAGGGTCCGGTTTTGGGGAATTGCTTCGCCCCAAATGGCCACAGATCCGCGGTTTGGAAATAGTCATTTTTGCCACGCCTACAGGGTGTAACGAAATTATCCGGACATCTATTTTTTCGCCATATCTGCTCGCACAGTTTCTCTTTTAATGTCAGAAGCTGGAAAATTGGATGAATGCATACCTCTGGTATCTGCTCTCAACTCAGCAGTGACCTGACCTTGCGAAATGACTCTTGCTCTGAGTAAGAGTCGAGTCGCCGACGGGTTCATTTGATAGTTTTCGTTTAAGGCAGTGGAGAGAAAGGAGTACAGTCTCTCGTTTCGTAGTAAGGCTACGTGTTGGTGGCATGGTGGCATGAGCCAAGAGCTGGTCTGTCAGCAGCTGGACATCAGCAGCAGCCAGTAGCACATCTGCCTGAGGCGTAATAAGCTGGGACTTGGTGGCAGACTCAGCCCGGCCTCGATCGCAAAAGGCGCCCTTTGCCAAGTGGTGAGGAGAGTTGTCAAGATAGCGACAAGGAAACGGCACCAATTAATCCGCATACTGACTCGAATTCTTACCAAGGTAGATAATAAGAGGTCCCACATCATGATTCACCGTTACCCGCCCTTTAGCTTGGTTTTACTGCCCTTCAAACTGGAAAAGACAATGAAATTGACGGGAAAACAACCAGTCCACCACCTTTGGCTTCAGGCCAGGGCGTGTCCACTGGTCGAAGGAAGACACGAATGAGGTGACCTGGTCGGATGGGAAGCTGTTCGAGCTGCGATACCCGTTGAACCGTCAAATCGGCCATGTGTGGGCTGCCAGCAACTCGAATATGCCGGCCGTCGCCGGCGTCAAACATCCGGCCAAAATCCAGACCTGGAGCATGTTCAGCTGCTGTGTAATATTCAAGCTGTTCATGACGACACAGAAAACCACTATCAGTGACGAGTATTTACCGGCGCAACATCCTGGCTAGCGATTGGTTGGAGCCACTCAACCAGACGGCACAGGATGGCTCGGTTTCTGAACGTGTACCGATGCCTGATTCAAGCCGCGCAGTCTTCATACGGGGCGGCGCACCACCTTCAAGTCCCTAGCAGAATGAGAAGTGATGCCGAGAGGACCTTTTTGTTCTTCTGGGCTAAAGGGCTATGGCTTGGAAATAGTTCCCATGCAATTCCATCGATATATTATGGACTATTGTCCATCAGGAGATGAATGAGGGGACACCCGCCACCAGCGCCGCTCAACTGCGGGCACAGGTTAGTACGGCGCTACTCTATATGAAACCCACTGTGCTGGAAAATCCAGTGGCTGGAATGCTCCAAAAATGTGTACCTGCGCTCTTATGAAAGGTGGCTATATAATAATTCAAAAGGGAAAATATCAGAATGTCTTGCTTCTTAATTACAGCGCGAAGAAAGATGTCCGGATAATTTCGTTACACCCTGTATGCTCGTCAAAGATATTTTTTGTTTTGGGGAGGTTAAGAGATTAACACGCGCAGTGGAAGGGGGGGGCGGATTTCGCCCACCCCTCCTGTTTTTCGCCAATAACTCGCGCCTCAAGCACAATATCAATGTGAAATTTCGGCTACCTGTCCAGAATTGAATTGCGGATCTTCTCGTGCAAGAAGTAAGAAAATCGGTTCACAACTTTTCTAGTAATAGCGGTGTAAAGTCAAACATCGTGCCGCCGCGGCGGCGCGGCGGCGCGGCGGCCGGCGCTAGCCGTTACGCGCCGCCTGAATTGTAGACTGTGCCGGGGCGGGACGGTTCCGTCTTTACATCGCGCTCCTTACCGCTGATTATATTCGATTCGCGTCAAATTCGGTGAAAAGACTGAGAAATGTACAGGCAATCATATGGTAAAAGAATTTTGAAAATCGGCCGGTAACAAATTGAGTTATGAGTGTGTAAACATAAAATTGTGATTGCCGCGTTTCCCGCGTCGGCCGATGCCGCTTCAGCCGGCGACATCTTACCCTTAGCAGGCTTCTAACTGCCATATTTATTGTTGGATTATCTAGAAATTCACCATACATACTCACAAATGTTTGCTCTTTCGTATAGTGAAAGTTTTTAAAAAATCGGCCGGTAACTTTTTGAGTTATCGGCGTGTAAACGCAAAAAAGTCGCTAATATGGCAGATTTGACCACATTTGACCTCATTTGACCTTGAAGATATTGACCTAGGGTCACGAAATTCACACACAATAGAGTTCCCTATGGCCTTCACCTACCCTCCAAATTTCGTCTTTCTAGCTCCAGTGGGAGCTGAGATGTTAGGGGGGGCGACATCCGCCCCCCCTTCCACTGGGCGTAGTACTCGCAACCCTTCCACTGCGCGTGTTAACTTATAATGTTGACCACAGCTAGGTCAAGATAAGGCAATACCCGGAAAGGTAGCAAAGCCGATTGAAGAAAATCATACGGCAAATACCTAATTTGATAAATCAGATTTTTTTCGTGTCTATTGCAGGTTTTCCGACCCAATGACTCATTTTGATCGGGAATTATTTGCAAAACTCCGATGACCTCTAACAACCTTAGTGCTGTCGCATATGACGCCTTTCTTATAGGACCTCAGTAAGGTACCCAAAGCAAAAGTATGTATCGGACCCGGTAAAGACCGCATTTAATCATCATTGCAGATGCTTGAGTGATCTTAGATCTTTTAAGCGCCAAAATAACAGCAGAGGCGGATCCAGCTCAGAGTTTTTTTTTTTGGGGGGGGGGGGGCAAACCATAACAATTTATCGATTCTTTCCATGCGTCGTCCATAGGCGTAATGTTAAAATCATGCCGTTTGGGGGGGGGGGCAAATGCCCATTTTGCCCCCCCCCCTGGATCCGCCACTGAATAACAGTTTCAATGCTTAATATTCCATTGACCTCAGGTGACCCATAAAAATCCGAGAAATAGAGGTTATGAAAACTCGAAAGGCTAGGTACCATTGGCTGGGAGTTTCATCTTCCTTCGAAAGGTTACCTGGTTGTGAGGTTGTTGCGAAGTTGCGACATTATTTTTGCAACGAGAGAGGTTCAGTAATGACGTCTTAGGTCAGTGACCTAGCCTGAAAAAAAAAACAGTTTGTACCGCAAGATCAGACTTAAGTCAAAGGTCAGGTATAGCAAGTTTCAGGTCTATATCGCTAGCTCGTTTTGAGCAATCGCGGGAAAATCGTCAATGGGGATGACACCAAGCCTTTCGGCCGGAGAGGGTATGAACAGTAGGCATTGACATGATACCCGATGGGATATGACACCCTCGAAGGCTGTTATGTCCCCACCCCATGCATTCGTCTTGCCACCCAAACAAAATACCCTTAAAAAAGGCCGTGCCCGATCTTCCTCTGTCTTGAGAAAAAAAAAAACATGTTGACCGCTTAATATATGACAATGCCTGAGCCTGATCTACCCGAACTGAACATTAACATGGCTGAGCGTTCGGCATCGTGTCTGACCTGAGATAGCGCCGCCGTCTGACCACCTTCCCACTCCCCCGGCTCCGCCTCCGGCTGCCGCCCCCACCGGACAGTCTGCTCCGACTGAGCTGCGGGCCGGCGCGGCAGCTGCCACCGCTCCCCACCCCGCGGCGCCGCGGCGGGCCGCCGTCGGCGGTCCCCGGTCCATCGTGCGGCCAAAGACGCCGACAGAGCTGTCCCACCAACACCTACCAACTTCCGGACAGATTGGACGGACGTCGACGAACCTACTTACATAGCCTACGGTAGAAGATACAGAGCTGCTAAAGTGTGGAGGCATGTGCAAGTGCAGCTTGGTATCTGATCTACCAAAAGAAATATGCACATCTACAAGTCAAAACTCTAGCTTATATTTATTTTACCTCTTGCATTGAAGGTTCGTCCCTCGGGGTCTCCTTAGACGAGCCTGAGAACAGAGATGTGCCTATTGCCTGCCGAAAGCACATTGGAAGTATCACCGTTTTGTCTCTCGTATCTATTTTTGTTCGAAATCACCACTTACCATGATTTTAGGCTAAACATTGAAAACTTTATTGGTGTTCGAAAAGTTATGTGACATTTTTTTTTTTTGGAAAATGTCTACCTCGATGTGGTTTTGGCATCTACAATAATTATTCTGTCCTAACAAGAAAAAAAAAACGTGACAGTTTCAATTGCAAAACTGTTCAGAATGTCAAAGTGGGGTATGTAGCCGGTGCTAGCGGGGTAGCTTGGCCGGTATCTTCAGTGCAAATTTACTAGGAATGCCGAGCTTCCAACAGAGTGTGGTGTTAATTAGCTGGGTCCATAGCCGCCGGCGGCGGTATTCCGGCACAGCCTACCCACGCCCGCGGAATCTCCGCCGCTTATAGCTGCCTGTTCCGGCTTCCTGGCCAAAAGGCGTGGTTCAATTGCTATGAAACGGTGAAACGATGAGAGGGCTACAACATGTGGTGATGGTTTAGGATGTATTTGATTTCATGAACTATCGCTAGAAGCAAGTGGTTCATAACATTCATGACAATGCCAACATGCGTTAGATTTGGTGGGCGTATCCCTTGTTTCAAATACACATCATCTACCGTGTTTTTGAGGTCACTTTCCATTCCTAGTGGAGCGTCGTGCAGTTGATGGTTTAAAGCTAAAACAATTGCGGAAAAATGATTTCAATGCATATCTCAGCAGGGCGTTGAAAGCAGAAAGTTCCCGGTTCTGAGCTGTTGACGAAAATGTAACGGATACTGCTCGAACTAGACCTAATTCCAAGTTCTTCGAATCGAAAGCTTACATCGAGCTTACGTGAAACAAATATAACTACATCTGGTCCGTTGATGCCACTGAACTTTGCCACTTCTAGCAAACGTTTTCGACCTCTAATTAACACCGACCAGCAAAATTAAGTATAAACCAACAAATCACCGAACCACATGCCACATAGTATGTATTTGGACGTATAATATATAATACTGTAACAGCTGTCAGTAACACAGTCACAAAACGCTCTCACCATGTAGAAGCTGACCCTCCCAACCGCTCCCCAGGCGCGAGGAGCCCTGAGTAGTCCGCCCCGCTCTCCCACGTAGACATAACTGTGCGGACATAGACCTCGAAGTGACCGAGAGACGAGAGCCTGAGACTAAATAGCACAGCTGTGTAAATGTGTGGCGCGCAAATCATGTCAATTTGGTATCCACCTGGGATATGCTCAGATCAAAGAGAAGGTAAGACTTAAAAATATGAATACAGCTGGTGCTGAAAACGGGCTCCATTTAGCCTTTTCTGGGCCTGGCGAGTGGTTGACATTGGCTAATCACATAAAAGGACAAAAGTTCTTACATTTCATGTCAACAGAATGGGCTGTAAATTCACACACAACAGAAACAGACAACCAAACAAATGTTTCTCGCCTCTCGGCACTAAAAACATAAATCACCGCCAATACTATTTTGACAATAAAAACTGACAACGCTCTTAGCCATTGCATTTTCACGTTTGCCGGTTTTAGAAACGATCGCGTCTCAAGATCTTGACTTCATAACAAAACTAACCAACCCATGTCCATCGAAGACGTGTGACCATAGAGTGACCGGAGATGGCTAACAGGCTAACAGACTGAATCTGTGTCAGGCCCAGCCACTGAGCCGATCGACTAGTCGGTCGGTAGATGGCGGTGTACGAGAAGCTTGCCAGTAGAGTACACAACATCTGGCCGCTTTCCGGTCAGTCGGCCTTCCATGGCTGGCATGGACGCACTGGTCACGCCGGCGCGGCACCGGGCGGGTCACAGCCGACCCACAACAATCTGCACTGGTCTGCCGCCCGCTGTAGCCAGCAAAGCGACCCCCTGACAATCCAACTGAGACCGACACCATCTCACGACGACGCAGAGCGCTCGAGGGCGGCCTGAACCGGTGACGAGCTTGATGGCAGTTTGTGCGAGAGACCCCATCAGAACTGGTCCGGGTAGCGGGGACCCGAGTGGCCGGGCCAGGTCTGGTTCGCGGAACAGTAGAACATCTCCTGGCCATGGTTACACTCGGACGAGTAGTCGCTCAGGTGCATAAACGCCTCCACAATACCTGGAACAGACACATACCGGGAAACCGTGATGTCGACCTCCGATGCTAGTTCGTATGGTCTGGATTGCATTATCTGAAGAAAGTTGGCTTAAATATCGAGTTTTTTTTTCCTAATGAAATGACGCCCTTGTGACGATAAGAAATGCCAGGGAAATCTATCGCAAGATGAATGCATTCTAAAGTTAAGGAATACAAAAGTTAAAAACACATTGCAAAACTGCTGACGAGTCCACCCTGACACCCTGTATGAACCGTGAACAGCTAAGGGGCGCCCAGCCCGGCTGTAAGTAGGAGGGAGGTCGGGGTACTGACCGCACACGCCCATCGCGGTGCCAATCACCAGTACCACCAGCGGCACCACGTTGGTGCGGCTGGCCAGCTTCTCCGGCGATAGGCGGATGTAGCAGATGGGCGGCAGCACGAACGCCAGCGGCGTGGCGAACAGCGTGCCCTGGGGATGAGAGGGGCGGGGGATCATCAGCAGAGGGAGGAGAGGGAGGGCGTGAGGCTCATGCAGGAGCCCAGGGCGCATATGGACGAGCAAGGCATGGTGACAGGCTGAGGTTTAGATGTTGAGATCATCATCCGCTCATTCAACCATTCGGGCCAAATTTCGCTAAAAAATCGTGTTAACTCAACACCTGAGTTGCAACTCTGTCTGTGACATCCCACAACTGTCGAACACTTGTCAACACATATGTGTCCCCTCTTGTGGTAAGTACAGCAAACGATGTCACCACAAGTGATACTCAAAAGCAAACATTTTCGTTAGGGATATTTTACTCGCTAACTATTTACTAGAGGAATACTCCCGCCGATACTGAGGCAGACCGGCACCATTATGTACGACACCATCAGTCACCAACAAAACCCAAATTTCCCCACTTAAGCGCACCCTGGTCTAACTGGTGGGACGTTCGGTCATATCACTGATACACTTTATCGTTGAATGCATACACAATCTATCGCTGATTGCAGGATATCTATCCAATATTTAGCATGAGATAGCCTCGGACAGGCTAAGTTTAACTTCGGATATTGAGCCCCTGTGTTCGTTATTCTGACCAGCGAGCGTTCAGAAGCGTTTGGTGTGGTGCCACTCACGTTGATGGCCAGCGCAGCGCCAAGACATTCGACCAGGAGTGAGATGATGCCCACAGAGAAACAGATGATCACAGTCAGCAGCACGTGGCGGGACCACGGGTGCGGCTCGTTCCTGCGAAAAGCAGCGCTCAGTCAGGGAACGTGACATGGGCGGCGGAACGGGCAGGGCACCGGGGCACCGTGCCCCCTTTGATTTTGGCGTTTTTATATTAGCCCTATGGGCGTTGCATGGAAAGGATGGGACCAAAAGTCGGCAATGTCCCCCCCCCCCTAATTGAAGGTGTTCCGCCGCTACTGGAACGTGACCGGGAAATTCTCGTGCGCTGCGTGCGTTGTCATCCTCCCTGTCAAAGCATTTCGGCGATCCCATCTAGTCTATGCTATAGTAATCTTTGGAGCTCTGGTGTAGCAAAAACATGAACAATTCACAGCTGCACACATCAAAAGCAGGCTTGTCGGTTGTCGTGAGCGTCTGAGAGGTAAGAGAAGGTGCATGACTGAGTGATAATGTAGAAGGAACGAGGCTTAGCAATCCGCTCCTTTAGCTGAATATCGTGCTCCGAGGTGATGAGGCTTTATGTTTCAGTGGAAGGATATTTCTGTAGTTAGATAATGTTATTCTTTGTTGTTACAGATCTGTATTGAAGGTTAGTAGGTATCGAGCTCAAGAAGGCAATTTCATCCTTCCAATTCTGAGGTCTAGTTGGCCATTGGTGGACTAACTAATTCGTTTCTTTCACTAATGACCACGGGAAAACCTCTGTTTCCGTTTTCTATTATAGTCTTGTCAGCGGTAACAAACTGTTAATGCTAATTCTAAATAGTTAATCCGTGTTCATAAACGGTATATAGGGCACCAGAACGACTAGCACTTCAGTGTCCAATCATCCCGGGTGGCCAAATGTCATACGTTTCCAGTAATGACAGCCCGTATAAGCTAATGGACGTTTGCGAGTGTCGGATGACACCGGGAGCGTGTAACAGATGTCCTGTCGATCGCTGATTGTTTGTCGTTACACACGCACCATTGCCCTGTGTCGTTTGGTCAGTGGTGCGCGTGTCCAGCCGGGAGCGCTGAGTTACGGCCCGGGCTGTGAGGGCTGTCTGTCACAGACTACCAGGTGGCCTAACATCCATACGTAACTGTCCCAGCGGGCCGACTCTGGCCAGTTTGTTTATGGCTGAATGACACGTGTGCTTGTATTGCATTGCAATGTGGTTCATATGTCTGAATCAAATTGAGCAATCGATATTATCGACATAATGACCTTATCATCTATCAGCAATTGTAATAAATAATTATAATCGACATAGGTGAAAGATAAGCAGGATGAAAGTATGAAGCTCTATTCAAGGTCGAACATTTTACATCGCTTCAAAATGTAAGCGGCAACCACACAATCAAACGAATATGTAATTCAGTTTATATTTACCTGTTCATGTCGGTGATGAAGAATGTGTTTTCGATGACTTCTCTGGTGACAAAGCACTCCATGGGATAGGTGAAGAGAATGGTGATGGTGTACAGAAGCCGCATCACGTTCATCAAGTCGTCGTGCCAGCAGTAGTTCTCGAGCAGATTTCCTGTTGACAAAAAGAAGCTGACGGGATTGTTTATATTTGCACGGTAATATGTAAGTAATATGTTGTGAAAAATGAAAGCATAGTGATATTTATATGTTGATTCGTTAGGTTGAGCATGTATAGGCTATATAGGCATCCTGAATAGAGGCCACCTTTTTCACGACCCTGGGCTCTGCCCGCGACTCCAGCCCTGAACGGCGCTCATTGGCGGCGTATAGCTAACGTCCGTCCCGACGAGATATTTGAATGTTGAAATAATATATTATATAAGATGTTGAAATAAGAGCTGCCATCTGTGATGGATCACGCATGAACTGACGAAAAAATACCGCAGCCGCGGGCTACACAGATGGCTCAGAACTCACCACCGAGGAGGATGAGGATTCCATCGTAACGGACTCTAAAAGGATTATTGATGGATTCCTGGACTGACCGAGCGAGTACGAGTTGAAGAGCACGAAGCCGGAGACGCCGAAGACGGCCGCCACGGCGGCGCAGACGATGATGCTGAAGTGCGAGACGCGCGCCCAGCGCTCCTCGGTGGCCTCATCCAGCGAGCAGTAGATTAGAAACGCATTGTGGTGGCACATGAACACTGCAAACAGACGACAGAGATGGGCCGCTCACACATGTGTCTCAACGGCCCACTCCAAAAACAAACGGCTGGGGCACCGCCGGAAACGGGTCTCCAGTCAGTAACGAGCGGCCCTGTCGGGTATTAATAATTTACTTTGCTTAGCGTCAAAGTATTTGGCAATGACTAAAAGTGCATTAAATCCAACAACGAACATTTCTTGAACACGGCTTATCGTGCACGACGCGAGTAATTACTGATAGTGATAGCGATCTGTGGCAAAATATGGTAAATATGTATGGGCCGCGGCTAGTGCTACACTACATTACATACAGCAACATATGAGATATACCATCGTTGCGTAATGGCAATGCACGGAAGCGGATGTAAACTAAATACGCGTGAAGAGTAATCTAATTGTGCTTACTGAAGGCGAGCACCCCGGCCGCCTGGACGACGCCGCCCTTGCCGAACACCCAGGCATCCTCCGCCACCGGTCTGTCAACACGCAGGCGCACCTGTCAGACATAGCGACGGGCCTGCCCCTCCCGTTCCTGTCATGCAGGGTTGTGCTCGACTCAAAAAATTTGCCGACTCGACTCATCATTCAACTTCAGAATGCCCTGACTCAACTCTGACTCAAACAAGGAGCTGATTTTTTTCCCTTGACTCGACTCATGACTCAAGCCCCTCAATGAAAATATGAGTTGACTCAAACTTGACTCAAATTTGTTGTTGAGTCAAGTGTGTTGACTCAAAATTGACTCAGATAAAAAAGTTGTTGAGCGGGGGGGGGGGGGGGTGAAAAAATCCGGCAGCAGGGCCAGGCCTAAGTTGTTGGGCGGGGGAGAATGAAAAACTTATACTATATATTGTTTCTAGAAAGTTAAGTCAGCTGACTCATGTTCCTAAATGTTTTTGACTCAACTCAATGTCAAAAGTTATTTTACTGACTCAACTCTGACTCAACTCAACACCTTAATATTTTTGTCCGACTCAACTCTGACTCAACTCAACAGCTCAACATTTTATCCGACTCGACTCAAATCTGACTCATTTGAGTCAGAGTTGAGTCAAATTTCTGACTCGACTCATGAGTCAAGCACAACCCTGCTGCCATGTGGCCAGTCTGGGAACACGCAGGCGCGCCTGTCACACATAGCGCCGGGCCTGCCCTCCCTCTCCCTACCCTGCGGCTGGTGAAACGCCGCGCCCGTCCTAGGCGGCTGCTCGGCATGCGGCTACGCCATGTCTAACAGCGGAGCCCAATACACTTCATAAAACTATACGTACAACCACCTTCAATCACCTAAACAATTTGATTTTTCTCATGCTGCCTTTCAGGTCAACGGATGACTGATCGCTAACACGACACCGTTTAAAGTCTAGCATATTGAAGTGTAATGAAAGACAGGAACGCTAGGTGAAGTCGAGAAGTTGCCCACCGTTAGTTTAAAGAATAAATCGGAAAAATACTAATAAAGTTTTAGTCGCATTATGAAATCCAAGACAAACTTCCCCCACTGGGCAGTGGGCACACCTATTCCAATTTAGGGGTGAAGCGACTATAAAAACGACTACTGTGACATAACCACAATACTCACACCTGCTCCCACATGGTGGCGGTCCGGTAGATGAGCGCCACGATCACCGTCAGGATGATGAGGAAGGACAGCAGCGACACCTTGGCCAGCTTGCCGATGTTCTTGTAGAGTGAGAGCGGCAGCGTGATGAGCAGCGTGGAGGCGATGATGATGAACTCTCGCCGCACCACCAGGTTGTCGGCCGGCACGCCCGTCATTCGCAGCAGCACCTTTGTGAAGTTGTCGCCAATGATTATGTTGTAGCTCAGGAGCGCTATGGAACAAAACAGATAACGTTGTTCCAAATGTTGTGTTGAAGAGTCCAATTATGCATGAACATTTACATGCACCAATCCGATTATATCGGATATCCTCAACAACTCTATTGTCTATTTTATAATGCAAACGTCCATAGCTGAGCCAGTAGGACCCCTCCTCCCACGATTGGCCCTTTCAGTTCTGCAAATATCACTTTAGACTATAACAAGAAGGAATAGCCACCGTTTCACACCCATCGCTTTACATGCTTTGTTATAGGACATGACTTGCTTCGAATGGGGATTCATGCCTTTTTCCTCAAGTGTCCTGACATGACACAGCACTGGTCGGCGGATAGTGAATAGGCCACAAACACCTGCAGTATCTACTCGTGTAACTACACGTGGTACCATTTTCCGATCCGTCAGTCCCACGGAGCCGCAGCGGATGCAGCTGAATAACATTTAGTTCCCGGTTGTTGTGACAGCTGCAGGCGACTCGCCGCGCAATCTATTGCTCCTAGCGACACAGAAGAGCATAGCATACGTACATAATCGGCCTCGCCAATTCATGTTTGAGCTACCGACGAACAAACTAAGATAAAATTCGATACGCTCAGGATGTTAAATTGTTGGTAAAAATCAAGCAAGAATGGTTGCTGAGTAACGATTCCTGCACCACCGCGTTTGTCACGTCCAGCCGCGTCGGACGATATGTTATAGGCAACACCAACTTTTGTTTGAAAAGGTCAAAATGGGCTTAACCACAGGTCAACTTCAGACATAGGCCGGTCAGGTCAGAACGATTTTCGAGGGACATCACATAGCACATCCTTCGATACGACAGCGTGGTTTATTGGTATGGACCTTTCCCGGCTCACTAACTCGATTGGGTCGGAAGCTATCGACGAAAAATGCCGATGACCTCAGGCAATCTTAGTCGACTGGTGGACGACTGGATCGACAACGTTGACTGATGTAAAATTTGAGTCTCTCAGATAACCCAAAAAGAAATTATGGAGGTTAAGCTGAGTCAATTTTTATGTAGGCCCATGGAAAATATTTATATTATGGCCCCGAGCAGGTATGACAGGTATACCTGCTACAAGCGGTTGAGTCAATAAAGTGATTTGATTTTCAAAAAAAAAATGATATTTGTTCCTTAGCCATGAAACGCGTGCAATTTTAGACTAATTGTAAATTATGATGCAATCATAGGCAAGCCTTCGGTCGAGCAATTTAAATTTAAAATGAAAAACGAACACAGGTGGATTTGGCTCACCGACAAACGGGTAGGTGAACTGGAGGAAGACGAGCACGTAGTAGCCGGGCGGGCCGAGCGCGCGCATCACCGTGTCCTGGTAGGTGCTGGTGCCGGCCAGGTTACCGGCGCGCACCAGCATCAGGATGGAGGCGTCCGTCATCCAGGCGACCAGCACGAACAGCATCAGGCCCAGGCCGACACCGGCCTGGCGCAGCGCGTACGGCATCCCTGAGGGGGCGCGGCACCGTCAGCACCCACCGCGGGATCGCTCTCAGACGGCTCTCACCTCTGTCGTCAGCTGCTATTATGTCAGAACAGGCTTCTGTTCAGGATTTTTTGTTTGTTCAGAATTGAAGAAAGGCTTACATATGGATAATGCCCATGAGCTATACATATGAACTAACCGAGGATTCCGCTGCCGATTATTGTGTTTATGAAGTTGAAGCTGGCAGATGTCAGCGAGCTCTGCTCTTTTTTCTCTTCATCTTCGGAGGCCTGGGAAATATAAGATAAGTTTGAGATTGTCGTTATGCCCAGCAGACCAGAACACTAGCACACAAAATGGTTGTTAACCTGTGCACCACTGGGGTAGATGGTTCAGGTTATCTTTAATCGGAGCCTATAATAAATGTAGGACTGTTTCAGCAGACCTGAACGATTTGCAGTTTTATACCTATGTCAAAACGGTAAAATGACCATTGCTGACCTGACCAGACATTTACTAAACCAAGATGCTTAAAAGTTTTTGCAACGATCTATGGAAAGCCATTTTTTGTTTTGTTGAATAGCTCAGGGGCGAGGAGCATAAGAGGGAAACTTGGGCAATGGGTGTCTAACACTTGCGGTAGCACATGCAATTATTTCCAGTCAATGTCACCGACAAAACAAAGAGCCAACAGGTGCCGGGTACAGACCTTGCATGTGACCGTTTCTGTTGTGCTGCGAGATCTGAGGTCGTGACAGAGCGGCGCCAGCTGGCAGCCATTCGGTGACGTGCATGACGTGCCTATTTACCGTACCGTGCACAGCCGACAGATTGACCGGCCAGTGAGCAGGGACGAGCGGGGCCCGGGGCCCGCGGCGCCCCGGGAAGACCCGGCACCCACCTGCCTGCTGCCCGTGACCTCGTTCTTGGTGAGCACCAGCCGCTCCTCGGCCATGGTCGTGTGCCCGCACCGGGCGCCGTCAGCCTGTTGAGTGGCGGGCGGGCGGGGTCGGCGCCGCGCCGCGCCGCCACGGTATTGATCACGGTCGGGGACGGGTCGCCGGCGCCGACCCGACTGTGTGCCGGTCCTCGGCACAGCGCACACTGCTCCCAGCCACCGCAGCGGTGTGCCGGAGGGTGCAGCGCCCGCGGCACGCGGCCACCTCCCCTCCCCAGCCACGCACACAGGGCCAGGAGATGCGGAGCGGCCGGCAGCGGTCTGGCAGAGCCGTTCTGTTCACCGCGGAGGGGCCGCACAGCTGCTCAGTGCTCACAATAGTTTTGTTAGGACTTCCTGACGAACTGCGACTGCATGTGGCGTCGTATAGGATACCATCGGACCAGATACAAGCCGACGCTGCACAGCACCGGCCGGCTGGTGCCCGTCTGCGTTATGTCACGTGCCTGGTGCGCTGCCGTCATCCAGAGCCCAAACACAGCGGCGTTGTCGCGCACGTTCGGATCCAATATCCCGTCTCTTGTTCGACTGCCCCTATCACGTCCGTTCCGGGTCTTATCGCACAGCATGGAGCTAAGCACAGCACAGGTTAATGAGGTGCAGTTAATTAGCGTCGGCTATTGCATGCGGCGCTATCCGACTGAGCTCTCAGTCCGGTCCGCCGTACGCGTTCCAGCGCACGCCACTGGCAGAACTTCGCAGGGATGACATTGACTGTTGTGAGGCAGGCGAGACGCATTGAATTCAGGGCCCAGACTAAGCCCTTGACTAAGCATGTTACGAAAACACCATTGCGTAATCAAGGTGACTGGTGGATTGGACGCATTACACATGGGACCAGGCATGGGACGCTGCGCCGCAATACGCCGCGTTGTTGTAAGGTTTTGCGCGTCACAACTTCGACACTGAATAAGCATAAACAGCACGTGCCGCTGTGAACTAAAGTTTTCCATGTTTGTGACTCAAAAAGATGTAGAAACTAGCCTGTTGAGTGTTGACCTCAAGTGCTGTACGAGAAGTGACAAAAAGAATCGGGAATGCCACTGAAACGCTCATGAGTAAAAACCTATCGAAAAAAAAAACAATACGTGCCGCTATGTTTTATGGCATTTCACCGATCATGTGTAGTACATTCGGGAACAGGCTGAACGATAGGGACTCTTTATAGACCGGTTACCTTGGCCTCAACACTGGCAGCAGCCGCCTGTTGCCGGTAGACTGTGCCGCTTGGCTTGAGTGTTAGGCGGCACAGCCTATCCACGCCGTATGAAACCAGTCATGGTCGCCAGATAACTAGAGCGCCTTACGGTCGTTCAGTAACGTTAGCACAGCGGGGGTGGGGGGGTGGGGGGTGGAGGGGAGGGTGTTGGCTCGTTGCAACCTGGTGACCTGGCTCGGCTCGGCTCGGTGGCTGGTGCGGGCCGGAGAGTGCGTGAAACGTGAGCGTGGACTACCGACGAAGGACTGGGCGAGTGCGGTCACTCGTCGCATTGCCTGATTTTGTCGCCCACAATGCGTTTCGACCTTTACTAAGCAGGTTGCCCAGAAGTCCCAGCGAACTTGATTTACTTCACATGTGCATCGCGCATGGTGCAGCGTGTCTTGATTAAGCACATTAGTGAGACAACCCAAAGAGGGTCCGATCACGATGCCACATATGCATGTTATCTATTACATCAAAGGCGGGTCCAGAAAGGCGGTCTCGAACGCTGCAAGGGGGACATACCTAACCTACCCCCGAAAAAAGTTTCTCCACATTCTAAAAACTTCTCTAATCGGATCTCGATGCATTTTGCACTGCTGTGCAGTTTAAAATAATTTTTATTGCAATAATAATTATTAAGTTTTCTTTCTATTCTAGAAAAACGACAAACTTTCACCGACAGCAAGCCAAACCAAACAACCGGGGCGCGGTGAACCTATGAGGTCCCGGTCCGAAGCAGAGTTCACTTGTGTGGCTAAGGCCTAAGACCCTAACATTATTCCACCACTAGCCAGGATGACGTGACTGACAGCTGAACCCACAAACAAAGCAATCGACTTTGCCACCGTACAATCAAATCAACGATGTCTGTTACTCCGAACTCGCGCGCCGTTCAAACATAATGGTCGCACGGTGCCACGGTCGCCAGGTCAAGGGCCGATGCACTAGCGGGCTCATCCAAAGACGCCAAAGAGTAAGGAAAAGGCAAAAAAATCAACGATTATTTATAAGCCGTTTTAACTCAATTGGTCCATGGGTGCCGACTACCCCAAATTACCCATAAACATGTGTCACAGGCTGCGAATATCAGTTTTGATTTTCGGGGATATGTGCCTACCCGGTTGACCTGACCTTGACCCTGACCTATGCTTGACTGACCCGTACATGGGACTGACACTCCTGTAGGCCTTATATGATGGCCATTGTGCACCGTTTTGACAGAGTTTATGACGAGAGGCGCCCATTGCGAAGTCCTGAAGTCCATACTACTGAAAGCCCGATTTCAGGTGTTGACCTGACCTTGACCCGACCTGTGACCTCAAAATTCAACTTAAAAATACTCATCTGAAGCGTCTCGTCGCGTTCTTTCGTTTGCCGCCTCGTGCGTTTCGCTGCGCCTATTGGTTCTCGAGTTATCGGCTGGGGGCGTTTAACGCCCCACCCCCCCAGCAAACGGTGGGTGGCGAAATACCCCAGCAACTGCCGTGTTAAGGGAGGGCACTGCTGAGTGCTGACTTTTGGTCCTATTCTTCCCATGCAACGCCCATAGGGCTAATGTTAAAATGCCAAAATCAAAGGGGGGCACGGACACGGTGCCCCGGTGCCCTTCCCGCTCCGCCGCCTATGAATAGGTAAGATCAGAACAATGTACCAAAATTTGTCGATTTGGGTGGGAAACGACATCCAAATTAAATTCATTTTTCACTCTTACCACCAATATTTAAGAATAATTGTCCACTCCCAACCAAGAAAACTTAGGATTATTTACCAGGAGCAGTTGTGTGGATGCCAGGTTTAGCATCAAACATTCTACACCCTAGAATAAAATACATGTTTTTGTTGTTTCTCACTCCTTTTAGATCTCATCGAATCAGCAGTTTTCTACCTCCCCCCCATTTTGGTGGGTATTTTTCCCCTCTGACACCCATGACAAAACTCAATTTTGGGACACTGGATCAGAATGCCGATCATAATGAGGACGCCAGTGGGTAGGAGGGCAGCGATTAACAGGCTTACATAGGCGCGCCCTCCAATCGCAAAGGGGGGGGGGGCATGACCCAGTGCCCCCCTCCCCTGCCTACCACTACGCCCCTGGGCACCGTGCCCCCTTGATTTGGGCATGTTAGCATTAGCCCTATGGGCGTTGCATGGAAAGAATGGGACCAAAAGTTGGCAGTGCCCCGGGCCCCCTCTTAATTGAAGGTGTTCCGCCGCTACTGGCCCCTTCGTACAATGCTTCAATCGTTGCATCGTTGCAGCCCGGAAGCCTCATCTCGTGGCAGCTGGAACCATAGGCGGCGGAACGAAGGGGGCACCGGGGCACTGCGGTGCCCCGGTGTGTGTTCCGCCGCCACTGCACTGGCTGGGACATGGAAGTAAAATTACTCATGATGTGGCTAGCCCACTGAACTCTATGCTCATAGGCCAGCCCAACCGTTTTTGTTAGCTTGGTTGGTCACGCTACCTAGTGAACCATCGGAAATCCATAGTTGAGGGTCTAGCCGCCAGAGAGCGCTGCTCTACCTCTGTTTGTTGTGCGCGGCCGGTGGTGGCGCCAGGGCCGCGCTGTAAAAAAGACGCGTTACTTCGGCTCACTGAACTCTATAATGCTACAGGGTCTTTCATAATGAATGTTACTTTTGAACATTTAGTTAGGAGATCTTAATTTATCACTTCCGCGTGAATTTTATATGCGTATTGTTGCAAATTGATTAAGGTTTTGTTCCAAAAAATAAAAAAAATCACAACGCCAATTTTCCTTCACGCAAAAGCAGAGTATGTCGACACCACCAAAACGCATTACGGATTACGGTCGACGGACAAGTCTTCATCCATTGGCTCTCCCCTGGGTCAACACTGAACGGAGTGGCTTACCTCAGGCTGCTCAAGGAATGCTTCTGCCTCAGGTCAGGGACAAGGTTCAAAGAGACGGCCTATGGTTCCAGCAGGATGGTGCCACAGTGCACACCACGGCAGCTGTTGCGCCAGTGGCTGATCGAAGATTTCGAAGAGCGCGTTATCAGCCGCCTCACCGAGCGACCATGGCCACCACGGAGTCCTGACCTCTCCCCGCTGGACTACTGGTTTTGGGGAGTCGCATTGGCAGATCTGAGAAAAAAAAACCCTCCTGCAGCCATCCACTGCGAACCACAGTGGAGAGGTTTGCTGGAGGCCTGGACCCAGACGTTGTGGGGCGCGGGGTGCGACACCTTCGTCAGAGGGCCGAAACGTGTGCCTTAATTAAAGGCGATCAGTGGAAAATTCCTGAGAAGCATTAAAATGAAAGTTGTGTGTGCAAAAACGCTAATCTGTTTCTGTTTCATGTGATGGTACATATTACATGAGGAACATATATGTCCTGAGAAATAGCTCTTTCAAAAGTAACATTCATTATGAAAGACCCTGTATGTTTTAGGGGGGTTACGGACAAAAGTACGTATCGCTAAAGTACGTAAGCCAAAAGTACGTAAGCAAAAGTACGTAGGATTAAAGTACGTATCGCAGAAGTACGTACAGTATAAAGTACGTATGGACAAAAGTACGTCAGGGACAAAAGTACGTATCGCAGAAGTACGTACAATATAAAGTACGTATGGACAAAAGTACGTCAAGGACAAAAGTACGTATCGCAGAAGTACGTACAGTATAAAGTACGTATGGACAAAAGTACGTCAGGGACAAAAGTACGCATCGCAGAAGTACGTACTGTATAAAGTACGTATGGACAAAAGTACGTCAGGGACAAAAGTACGTATCGCAGAAGTACGTAGCAAAGTACGTAAAAAGGTATAAAGTACGTATGGACAAAAGTACGTCACGGACAAAAGTACGTATAGCTAATGTACGTAGGGTAAAAAGTACGTATGGACAAAAGTACGTCACGGACAAAAGTACGTATCGCAGAAGTACGTAGCGTAAAAAGTACGTATTGACAAAACTGTACGTCACGTACAAAAGCATACGTATAGCAAATGTACGTAGGGTATACCTAAAGTAGGGTAGCCTTGGGCAAGACGCCCCAGATAATTTATTTTGCTACATAGGTACCTACTTTTGTCTCACATCACCTGGAAGGCCAAATTTGTGCTCAATGTGTTCTTTGGACATTTTACTTTAAATTCCATCCCTCAAATCCATTCACTTATGATCGGACTCCCAGCTAGGAAGTGCTTTGTGAAGCAACTGCAAATGGGGCATTTTGCCCCAACCGTTTGGCATCGCTTTTGTTTGCGTAGCTCTCTTATTTACGGAGTTAGACAGGGGGGCGAAAAACGCCCCTCCCCGGGCCGCGGTGGTTGGAATTACCAGAAGAGAGGATTTTTCCCAGAACCCTGCCAGTTCCGAGAAGCATCGGTGAGGCGTTTTACCTCGGCGGGGCGACTTGCCCCGGTCTACCCTACGTGTGGACAAAAGTACGTCACGGACAAAAGTACGTATAGCAAATGTACGTAGGGTATTAAGTACGTACCCCACCCTTGGGTTAAGTTGATTAATGTGTAATATCTTTCTTATTCTTTATTTAATGAGCATTTGTTACAAGGCATAGCAAAATTTCTCGATGAGTAAATAGTGGGCGAAATGGACAAAGCTATATTATTTGGTATATGAATTTATCATGAGTTCCCTTATAGTATGGCAACAGAGCAGCAAGAAAAAGTGGCTCAACTTACACTACTATACCCTACTTCTAGCATACGTATTACGTACTTTATACACTACGTACTTTGGCATACGAACCGTACGTACTTTTGGCAACGTACTTTTTACACTACGTACTTTTGCATACGAACTTTTGCGTACGAACATTTGCGTACGTACTTTTGGTATACGTACTTTATACACTACGCACTTTTGCATACGTACTTTTGCGTACGAACATTTGCGTAGGTACGTACTTTTGGCATACGTACTTTATAAACTACGTACTTTTGCATACGAACTTTTGCGTACGAACATTTGCGTACGTACTTTTGTCATACGTACATTTTACACTACGTACTTTTGCATACGTACTTTTGCGTACGAACATTTGCGTACGTACTTTTGACATACGTACTTTATGCACTACGTACTTTTTCATACGTACTTTTGCGTACGGACATTTGCGTACGTACTTTTGACATACGTACTTTATGCACTACGTTCTTTTGCATACGTACTTTTGCGTACGAACATTTGCGTACGTACTTTTGGCATACGAACTTTATCACCTACGTATATTTGCGTACGAACATTTGCATACGTACTTTTGTCCTACGTACTTTAGCGATACGTACTTTAGTCCTAAAATCGTTTTAGGGCCTTGTATAATGCTATGTTTTCTCGAAGTCGAGTAGGACCAGAAACAGAAACTTTAAAAAAATATTAGTTGAGTGATGAACAATCGGAATAATAATTCATTTATAATAATAATTCATTCCATGAACATTTTAAACCCAGTTTAGGAAAATTGCTACAAAGTGAGTGCATGTAAGTAAAGTAATGCAAGGCCGTATATTAGTCCAAGAATATAGAATATAGAAGTAATGTTGAGTGCATTTTGTACACGAAAAATTAAACTTCCCTTTTCTTATCCCTGATTGGCGCTTGGATTGGCCAATAGTGTTTTTGTATACCTTGGGCCAATCCAAGGCGGCCATTTGTAAGCGGGCAGCAGAGCAACAAGAGGCCCTGAACAGCTCTCGGTCACTTGTGCAGCACGTTGAATGTGTGAGACGAGACGAATACGATCCCGAAAGATTGGTGAGAGCTGGGTGAGAGCGGTAAGGTGGTGAGAGGAGATGGGTGGGTGTTTAGATATATTTATCGCATTGGGCTTATCTACTGCTTTTCGAAAAAGAGTAGGTAATTGGTAGGGAAAGTCAAAAGGCTGGAAACATGTTTGCTTCAATGTTCAATTTTCAAATTCAGTTTATGGGTCTATTCAAGGCTCCAGCATCTGCCCCAAACTTCCTCTAATCTTCTGAAATCTGAAATTGTTCCTGTCAATCCCTTGCCCCTCAAGCATTCAACATCTCACCAGTCACCATGGCACCACCATTCTCCTCCTCGCTGGTCCCAAATGATGGTTTTGTTGAGGTGGCCAACATTAATTGTTGTGTGTTATAACTGTGGCTACAAGTGTGAATTGTTTATAAATGGCATGGTATTAGTAGAGCAGACGTCGCATGAGGGTTTCCAACCGAGGAGAGGTGCTATACACACACTGAGATATTATTTCTAACAAAACCTAAACAAACCTAACCTAACCTAACCTAACCTACAACCTACAAACCTACAACCTGCAAACTACAATCTACAAACCTACAAACCTACAAACCTAGCCTACAACCTACAAACCTACAGCGCCTCTCCTCAGTTGGAAAACCTTTGTGTGACGTGATGTCTGTCTGCTCCACTAATTGAGTGACCTGGAAATGTAAGTAGGGATTGAGTAAAGTAAGGTAGTTGATCATATCAACAATTTTCTAAGTTGATATGTGGTTTGTGACAATATGATCAATGATGTGGTTTTTATTCAATTTTCAGCCTTTTGGAGAGATCAAACCAGGGCAGTTTTGAATAATAACTTATGATTTTTCTGTCAGCCATTGATATGAATTATCACAATTCAAAATAAAAATATTGGTGCCCCACAACTTGTCTGTGCTATAGCCTGAGCCTGCCAGGGGCAAACAGATCCTCTCAAAAAGTTCCTATGAGGGCTTGTCAATAGCTCTCCTGGACTCTCTTCCAAACTGCTCCCCACTTTTATAGGACTAGCCATGGAAAGAGTCCCCTTGTCCACACTTCACTTCATCCATAATTCTAAATCTAAGTCTAGCAATTATGAATTGAATCTGGAAAATTTGGCTGCTAAAGTAAGACATGTCTGTAAAGCTAGCCAAGCTGGATGCAGTTCAAGCTGGTCACAGCTGACTGGCCAGTGTTCACAGGTGCTTCCACCAAAACTTGCTCCCTCTTATCACTGGTCAACCTCATATGTTCTCTCTTTTGACATCTTGTAGACAAGCTATTGATTTTTTAATTGGAAATTCTCTTGCAGACTTTTGGAATATGGCTCTGTCCTTGTGAATCCTTCCCATCAAAAGGTTCGGACTAAATTTATAAAAAAAATATCTGGTTAGATTTTAAAATGATAAATGATATGTGTGTTTTGTGGCTAAATAAAAGAATCAGCACCCCTCCCCTATAGCTGAAGCGACTCAAATATCATTGCCCTGTTCATTTAAACATACTAGACAGCATTAAAATTTGCGGGATGTTTCATGGAAAAGTCGAAACATTAAGCTGCTCGAGTTGTTGCATCTTCATTGCTTCTTGTTGGCCCATGCATATTGCATTTGTTGCTACTTTGGCACCAGTTTACCTTATGATTCTGGCCTGCATGTAAATGACAATATTGCTGGCAATAGGAATATTTAGGACTGTTGCCAGTAATTTCTAATTAGGATTTTTTCCTAGGATGAGGTCTCTAAGTGTGACCAATGACCGGATTTAGTAGGAGACCTTTGAGAGGGTTCCTACCACTTTTGCATTGCAGGAAAGATACCTATAAGTTTATAACCTAAGAAGCTAAATTTAGAAGTTTTAGAAATTAGTGGTTTAGAAGATAATGGAAGGTGTTTGAAAGAGCACGCCAGTCACTGCTGCTGTCATGTTGGGTTCCAGAGTGCTCTGACTCCATCTGAGCAGCTATTCAACGGGTAGCTGTCTGGCCAATGATCTTTGGCACACCGTGATCTGAGCAAGAATGGCCTCTGCTGCGGGACGGAGGAAGCGCTCCCGGGACTCGAGCGGCCCGAGTGAGCCGGCCATGCGACCCTCGGTAAGGACACGCGGGACCCGGCCGTCTAGAATCTGGGGTTCCAAAATCCAATGTACAGTGTTCACTCATCTTACCCTTGTCAGAGCGCTGAACTTTTGATTTTCTACAGTTAATGCATAGAGCTTTGTGAACAGGACGTGTTGGTCGGTATGAGATGCAACGAATGGTACCAAATTTTAGGGTTCCATTCAGGTGAACTGTCGACCTCATAAGTCAGTGAGTCCACAGTTGCTTGGGTAGTAGACCACCCACCACTTGCTTAGGTTTTTGGTCTGGAGGTAGGCTTGGGAGGCTAAACGCCCCAGCCGATAAGTTATTAACCAATTGTCGTAGTGGTATACAATGTGGGCTTTTTTCACTGTCGATAAGTCGTCACCGACTACACTGGCGCTTCAGTTTGCATCTTTGCCACGGCCATGGCGTCTGTTAGCTAGGCTAGAATAATGATCAGTGGCCCATGAGTCCCGATTGTTTACTTTTGTCGGCTGAATCCCGGTGGTGTGGCGGGCAGAGTACCCCTGTTGGCCGATATTGTACCCAGGCGCTCCGTCCAGTGGGCGGCGGGGTACACGGCAGCAGCGCTGCGGAGTTCAGATGACCGGGGCGCGTGCCGGTAGTTGTGTGACGTGTCCGTGAGCATGCAGTGAAGGTGGGACGGTCGACGATGGTTACCTGGGTGTGTCGACCGTATGATAACAATCCGGGACGGTGGATGGCCGTCCATCGTTCGGTGTCAGTGGAGCAAACTGGCCGGCCCCATAACCACTGCGTGTCCACTTCGGCATTTAGTTTGACTTTTAGTAGTTCGCAGGCGACCCGGAGCATGTAGGTTCATCAGTTTGATAGGTTTGTTGCAACTTGGGTTGACTGTTTGGTTTCCAAGACAAAACAGAAATATGTCTGACATTAGCTCGCATATCATGTGGCGTTCCAGAGTTTCGATCTTTTGTTATTCAAATTTGACGTCGCTTACATAATGTCCACAACGTCTTTCTTCTGTAAACAATCCTACGTGATCTACGTAGAAGAGCTTGCTTTACATTATGAAGAGCGGAGCAGTCGTTGAGGTAACATCTCTGCCTTTGGAAATTTAGGGATGATTGAGGTATGGGCTCATACGTGTCCGTTTTCTATCTGGCTGCTCGTCGAGAAACTGTGGTCTCTTTGTGGCGCCACCTGCGCCGCTCACCACTGAAGCTCTCCGGCACCTAGTTGGTAGTGCCCAGGTGCCGCTCTTGCAGTTTTGTTGGCCAAGCTGCTGCACCCATCATGGTTAGCCAAGGCTCGTGCTGGATACCATTGACGGTTATTGTCACACGCTACTTGAGATATGTAGCGTTAGTTCTGCTAGCGTGTTCTTTTTTAGGTCGTATTTCGAGCATTCTTTAGAATGGTGTGAACTGTGAACGCTGTTTGACGGCATAGTTCTGGTAATGTCTGCAGGCATTGCACTGCCACTTGGATCAAACACTATTTCCAATGGACGAAGTGCTCACTGGAACTCTCACGCTGATCCAAGAGTGCAGGGATCGACAAAGTCATGTACCCTGTCCAGAAATCGACCAGGAACGGTTGGCTCTAAAGGCAAGGAACTTGCCCCTAGACCAGAATGCGCCCGTCATTGCACTGGTGACGGCTGCGGCACGAGTCCCGCTGTCCCAGTGGGGTTGTATTTCCGGTGCTTCCGACGTTGCCTCTGGTTTTCGTAACCTCAAACACTTTCGGCAGTTGCCCCGTGACGTGCGTCGGCCATCACGAAGTTTTTTTTACGCGCTGCAAAGCGCACTCCTTGCTATGGGCGTATGCCTATAGATCAGAGGCCAGAGCAAAGCAGCTGTAGATGCATGCATATTCTGTAGACAGGCTACATTCCGCTATAAGTAAAGTAATCTTGACATCTCGCTGCCGGTATGGCTGATCTGACTGCGCGGAGGAGCTGACTATCAGTCGGCCAGCGGAGGTGCACGGAGGGCTGGGGGTCGAGCGGACGCACCTGTGGAGTGCCGCTGAGGGTCGGTCGGTCGCCAATCGCCGCGCCGCCCGCTCAGTCGGCGTCCGAACGCAGCGGCGGCGGCACGCACCGACGCGCACGCACTCAGCTGCGTGGCTCCACGCGGCAGTGAGGATGAGCGCTCTGAGACGGTACAGCAGCGCGACCGGCACGCCGGTGAGTCATACCGCCGGTCTGAATCAGTGGATAGTTCAGCGGTGAGATTGGACTGGCGTGAACTGAGTCAAGAGAGACAGACACAGGTGTGTGCTGCGATCTGAACATAGGCCAGGCAGTGGTATAAGCAGAGGCCAAATAGTGGTGTAATCATAGGTCAGACAGTGGTGTGATCATAGGTCAGACGGTGTGGGCGGAATTCTGACTAAGGATGTTAGCCGAAGTCTCACAGTTTTGTAAGTAGAGGTCAATCAGTGGTGTGAGCAGAGGTCAGACGGTGGTGTGAGCAGATCCCAAATACTGTGGGCAGAGGTCAAACAGTGGTGTGAGCGGAGGCCAAATATTGTGAGCAAGGGTCAGACAGTGTGAACAGAGGTTAGACGGTGGTATGAGCAGAGGTCAGACAGCGCTGTGAGTAGAGGTCAGATGTTGTCAGCACAGGTCAGATGATGTAAGCAGAAGTCGGACAGTGGTGTAAGCAGAGGTCAGATGTGAGCATAGGTCAGAGGATGTGAGCAGAGGTAAGATATTTCAATCATAGATCAGGTGTTAGCAGAGGTAAGATATATGAGCAGCGGTCAGATAGCGTTATGAGCAGAGCTCAGATGTTGTCAAGACGGGTCAGCTGATGTACAGGGTGTCTCAAAAGTTCGTTCACACATTTCCCATGCCCATAAAGCATATAAGAACCGGCCAAAAATCTAAGGTTTTGGTGTCTGTGTGCACACTAGACAAATATGCATGCTTTGACAACTGATTCGGAAGGTTGGAAATCAAACTATTTGCTGTATCTCCAAAAATATTTGTCCATACCGATTTTCGTCGCTCCGTCAGCTGCCGGAGGCTGATAAAAGGTTACCAGCTTTCAAGCTCTTGTAGGGGAATCCCCTGCAGTTTCTGCGTCGGACTTAGGTTTGACGAGCTCCCCGGCAACATCCGCTTCTCCCTGAAAGCCGTCAGCTTGCATCGACACCATCCGTGAGTATTTTGTAGGTCTTCTCTGGCGCTAACGCCTTCATGAATGACTGGCGCCGACCTCCTAAGCACAATTTTCCTTTTCAAAACAACCCCATTCCTGAACAAATTGGAAGTTCCAGGGGCAAATTTTTCGCAGCATATCGTAGAAGAATGTGTCGGCCATTTGTTTCTTAGACACGTTGTGCAAATTTTGCAAATCCCAAACGCTCATCATTCCCCATGACAAGATCTTCACTGGGTTGCGGAGTGTTTTCCTCAGGAGAGGTTCTGCTTGGTAAACGGCCAAAACCTGTCCATCGTGCGGTTTTGTCGGGATTTTGTGTCTAAAAGAAAGCTATTCGCTCCAGATCTGCCTCTTGAAACTTCGTAAGATAAAAATTTACATTAAGACACTTTTGGAGGGTCAGTTGTCCTTGGCATTGACGATTTTCGTGTTATTTTCCCCCAAAATTTAGCGTTATAGATATAATAAACAATTTAAAATGATACTTTGTCTTTATTTTACGATGACCTGCAATTTTTGAAACTGGGTAACCTCTGTCTGTGAGCTTCTTGTCAGTTTTCAATAGTTATGACTTCATTTTAAGCTGCTTTCCGGAGCACGAGTCTGCTGTCGTACGAGGGTCGTTCAAAACGTTGTTAGTCTCGCATGGTTTTGTCCTTCAAAAATTTTAGCCACCGTTTTTATTAGATGATCATCATGTTGTACTCATCCTCGCCGACAGTTTGCCATGGGTCATTTCTGACTTAACCATTCCCATTACTCCTGAAATAGAGAGTTTCTCAGCCGACCCGATTTTGCGACCTCTATTTTCATGCTTGACCCATGGTCAGAGATGAACCCTTTTTGTGAGCTCATGAAGGGTCGAATGCGCTTGAAAACAATGAGACTGCTTGAGGAAGGTTGTTACGAATGCCCATGCAAAAGTTCGACGGTTAATTAATTGTTGATTCAGAATTATTGACAAAAAAGCATGGCCGGTACCTGTGAACGAACTTTTGAGACACCCTGTAAGCAGAGGCCATGCAGTAGTTTAAGCATGATCAGACAGTGGTGGCGTGAGACACCATATCTACATCACTGGCATCCATGAGAGATGCTTCGCAATAGCGACATGTAGCCTGTGGCTGACTCTCAGCTAATATCAGCCGATGAGTTCATTGACCACAAATGTGGCCAATATTGCACAAAGGCACCCACTGCCCTTGTCCGCCTCCCCCGACCCGAGTGGCCATCTGTGGGCCCCGCTGTGGTCGGCCACCTCTGCCCCCACGGTCGACGCTCCCCACCGTCGGTCAGGGTCCACCCAAGGCCGGACGGGGGTCGCAGGGGCCACACCGGCCGGGCCCAAGGTCCCCTCCGCCACGGGACGAGTGTGTTATCAATCTGGCGCCATCACGTGGTGTGGGGCGGACAGTGTGTCACGCGACAGTGGTGAGGGGGCGGGGCGCCGGCTCAGCTGTTCAATGACCTCACTTTTAGCCTGATCTTTTATCCTTTATGATTATTTCTCTACCACACATATAACATTTTACAGTATATTCACAGTATTTTATCACAGGCTAGGAGGAAGCGGGAAAGGCGAAGCGTGTTTTTTTTTTCATTGTGTTTACGTAGTGTAAACTTTGTGCATTTTTATGCGCACATTTTGCAAGTATAAAGCCAATTGCTTGGGAAATCTGACAAGATTTGAGATCGGGCCTTCTCTGTAGCCACGCCATTTCTTAGCGAGAGTTTATCGCTAACCGGTAGCTTCCGAAACTCTTACGTTTCATCCACACCACACAGCCACCACTGCCAACCCAAACAGCAGCGTGCAGTGCGCCCGACGCGGGTGAGAGATGTTTGGAAACATTGCGCTGCAATAGTGTGGCGTCGGCAGTTAAACGGCCCAACTTCTGCGAGCTGGGCACTGAGGTTGGCTAGGAAATGACAAGGAGAAGTCAAAGTACGAGTAGCAGAGATGAGTGTTGGCTGCTATCGTAGGTATCGACTGAAGTGCTCTAATCGGCACACAACGCTGCGGTGATTACAGTCGTTTTGACTGATGAACACTGCGACCCGCCGCCTCCGTCACAGCTACCGTAATCAGGATTGATGGTTGAGTGTGGAGGGGGGGGGGGTGAGGGGGTGCCCTTTATGTCCAAAGAGACAAACGGCAAACCATCTCGCATTGTCTCCGATATTTTAACAGGACTTTCGAAACTACTTTCTTCTTGTTTGATATTTTTAGCCTTTGTGCTATTTTACACATAAAACATATCACTTGGTGTAGCATTCCTTTTCAGATTGAACTGCTCCTGATAACCCATATTTTAACTTGTGGGTCTCTTTGACACTGCATTTTTGCTGGTATGCTTGCTCTCCCGCGCTGTAGCCCATGCTGGATCGTATCTCGTCACGCCGGGTGCTGTGGGCGGCTCATCGCTCAGCTGACCACCCCCTTCCCTCCCCCTCCCCTTTCCGTCGGCAGAGTCTGCGCTCCGAGGCGCCGTTCAGTGATGAGCCGGACGCCGACTATGCGCGCGCCATGTGCGACTACACTCAGAAGATCACACTGGAGATGGCGAGGGCAGGCACCGGTGAGTAGTGGAAGATACCGGGGCGTGGCTGGCCCGCCAGGCGATACGCAACGCGTCAGACCGCACACATAGCTTGCTATTCACATATTTTAGGTCCTGCTGGTACACTACACCTATCCGTTAAATCCCGGATAGTGACTTTCATACACGATTCGGTCACGTCTGGCTGGAACAGACTTTTTGATTGTGTTGCTTCTTAATATTCGCATTAATACACCTACTCCAGCATACCTAATAAACATTCATATGTATGTTACATATATAGCTGAACGACACTTGTTCGGCCTTTCGTGCGGACCGTTTATCTGAAGTGTCACTGACTCCAGTAAAGTGTACGAGCCCGCCGACCGTCTCGAACTTTGCTCCCCGCCTGAAGTGCCCCGTCCCCCGCCTGTGTTCGATACAGCGCCCCGGCCGGTTCGGGTGTACGCCGACGGCATTTATGACGTGTTCCACATGGGCCATGCGCGACAACTGAAACAGGCCAAGAATGCGTTCCCCAATGTGTACCTGCTGGTGGGAGGTGAGTGACAGGGTTCGGGGAGGGTCCGGACCTAGCGGCAACCAGAACGTCATCATCACGCGGGGACATATAAAGATCAATATACGTTTCTCACAATCAGTGATGGTCGCTAATTCTTTAGTAAGTTGGGGATGGAATCAATAAGAATCAACACTAAAACCAATGAAAATAAGAATTGCGACAACACAAAGGGAAAATAAATTGACGCTTCGTCGTACTACAACAGACTCGGTTTGGTTTCTAACGCTAAAGCCGTTCGACGTCGCCTTCTCTATTCGCCAATCTGCTCTGCCCTCGTATCCCATCCCCCTCCCTGTCCATCCCCCTATGACGCCCTCCCTGCCCTTCAGTGTGCAGTGACGCCTCGACACACGCACGGAAGGGTAAGACGGTGATGAACGACACGGAGCGGTACGAGTCGGTGCGCCACTGTCGTTACGTGGACGAACTGGTGCGGGACGCGCCCTGGGAGGTGGACGACGCCTTCCTCGCCAAACACAAGGTCGGTGGCAGGTCGTAGCCGCTCCCCGTCCCGCTGACTGGCACCTGCGTTAGGAGCTGCAGCGATACCTCGGCGCTGTCCTCTTTTTGCACCGTCCTCTGCTTATTGCCTTTTCATTATGGACTTTGTTACGCATTATTTTTTATCTGCTCGTACATTCAATGAATTGTTTGAACTAGTTGGCGATGTCGCCATAAGTCATAACAGTTAGTTAAAGCCCCACGCAGATTTGTTTGTCGATTATCTCCGAGCCATCTGAGCGGGTCGTTCAGGACCGTGACACCCGCGTGTAACCGTCCTTACGCTCCGCACTTTTCCGACAGATCGACTTCATCGCGCACGACGACTACCCGTACACGACTGGCTCGGGGGTAGACGTGTACGCCCGACTGAAGGAGCGAGGTAACTGCGCGGCGCCGGCCGGACGGCTGAAATGACAGACAACACTTGTAACGTGCATTGCCACACTTTGCACACTCGTGCCAGCTGCGTGGCGCCCTCTGCGTGGATATCAATATGTACGAGCTCCCGTGCGAAAGTGTGCTTGCGTTCTTGTTTCGTCCTCCCTCGAATGTGTCATTGTGCATCTTACTGTCACTTTGCCGCTCTGTGTCCTGTATTGTCCGCGTCATTGTGCATCCGACTGCCCCTGTGCCATCCATTGCCGGCTGTGCCATCATGCATCCTTTTGTCTATCGTCTGTCCGCTCCTGTGTCGCCCTGTCTTCCGTGCCATCTCATCTCCATCACTGATCACACCGTGCTCTCCACGCCCTCTCCGTTTCCAGGCATGTTCGTGGCCACGCAGCGAACGGACGGCGTCTCCACGTCTGATATCGTCTCCCGCATCGTCAAAGACTACGATGTCTATGTGCGACGCAACCTGCAGCGCGGCTACTCGGCCAAGGAGCTCAACGTCTCGTTTATCAACGTACGTGCCGTGCAGCCGATGATATCTGTCATGTGTTTTGTTGACACTCATGACAGCTAAAAACACATATTGCTTGAGAGGTGTAACAAAAACTGCACTTAAAATAGCTCAAGTGGCTGATTCCAGTTCCACTGTTATAAAAATCCTGTTATAGATGCAGATATTCGCACAGATTTTAATAGTAGCCTCCCCTTTCCCGTAATTACGTAAGCGTGACGTAAAAGTAGTTATTTGCGTGCAACTCATTATACTTTGTGGTTGCTGCTGTATTTTGCACAACTTTGATCTACGTGGATCTTGAGGCGTTTGCAAGACATGAAGGACTTATGAACGTGAGTCAGCTCGCTGTATGACTACTACACTCTGGTGTGACTGTTCAAACGCCGACCCCGCAGGAAAAGAAATTCCGCATCCAGAACAAGATGGACGAGCTGAAGGACCGCGGCAAGAAGGCGATCGCCGACATATCGGACAAGCGGAACGAATTCCTGCAGAAGTGGGAGGACCGCAGCCGGGAGTTCATCGACACCTTCCTCATGATGTTCGGCAGGGACGGGCGCTTGGTGAGTCTAACGGGGGGTTGAGTTTATTTATCCCATGGTGGCCGGTAGATGGACGCGGGTCAGCAGACCTAACACGTCCTGCCAGCGCGGGGTCAGCCTGGCACTAGCTGGAATGATTGCTCGGAGTCTGATCGGATGCATGAGTTCCCTTTTTGTAATTTTCTATTGCTGATGTTCAAGGGGTTGCCATTTAGGCTTGCTGAGCTCGTCTAGCAGTCACAGCGGATTGGGAGTCCTACGTAGGAACTGCTCGGTTTTCCGGGGGCCGACAACTGAAGTGCAACGTCCTCCCTGGACCCCCCAGCTGGGTAGGGACACCCATTAGACCTGCCAGTGGCATGGGACGCCCCTCTTCCGCAGCACTGTCTGCTAGCGCCGAGTCTGACCCCCCGACCCGCCCGTCGTCCGCAGAATAAGATGATTACCGACTCGAAGACGATGGTGCGCTCGGCGCTGTCTCCACCCTCCTCACCGACGCCCTCTTCGTCCAGTGAGGCCGACGGACTGAACAGGTGAGCAGTCAGCAGTGCCGAACCCTTCCCACTAACACAGCCCACCAGCGGGGGTCACTGGAGCAGCCACGTGAGCACGAACGCTTCCGCTCACCGTATCCATGCCGATCTACTGAAACGTTATTCGCTGTGAAAATGTTCAGTCACGCCCTTTCAGTTGCTGTACCCCTGTTCCAAGTAAAACCGACTGATGGGACCGCCAGACGCCTCTGGGCGGTGTAACATGTCCGTACTGCGTGTCTCCTCCCACACCTCCCGAGTCCCGAGCTGACTGGCGCCTCCTCCCCCTCCGGCAGTCCGCCGTCCAAGGTGCGGCGGCTCCGCTCAGAGGACGACAGCGCTCCCGGCGCCGCCGCCGCCGCAGGAGACTACTCAGATGACGACGAGCAGGACGCGTCACTGGGAGTGCAGTAGTACCGCCGAGCGCCGGCCGGGGACAGAGTCTCCGCTGGCGGTCACACATCGCGCACAGTAGCCGGCCGGGCTGGGTCGACCCCGGCACAGCCGGCAGCGTAGAGCCAATGCGACGCACTGCGAAACGAATGGTGTGTATTCCTACATTTTATCTTGGTACGTGAACAGTGCCGCGGGTTTTTAGCTTTGTCGATCATTTGGAGTGTTTGCTGGCAAAGGTGATTGGCGGTCCTGTGATGGCCCTCTGTTTTGGCCGTGGCCGAACGCCGCTGCCATTATGGTGCTAGACTGTTGCGATATGTGAGAAGACCAAATTATAGGATAGTGTTTATTCCGCACTGCTTCGAATGTAACCTGTGGTGATGGTGCCGAGTTCTCTGGTGCTGCACAACGCACAGCACTGTGCGCTGAGGGAATAGGAAGCATAATGACAGCCTATGAAGTATGAACCACTATGCTTGCATTCAGCAAGTCTCGCGGTTGTGACTGCTATACACTAACTAAATGTGTTGAAAGACTTCTACTCGCATGTTCGCAAATTTTCACCAGCTAGTGCTAATCCCATGATTATTTATTGCCTTTTGCCAGTAGCCCTCTTGGACAGTTGTACAAGATATAGCAATTAGCCAGGCCAGAATGACGTCAGACCAAAATACACGTTTACAATGAAAAAGGTGTGCTGCATCCTCCTAGGATCTGTCCGTGACCCTCATGAATAAGTAAGTTCTGGGAAGGTAAGAACCAGCTGTGGTCGTGACTCACGATCTCACGAAAACAGCGCACATCTCCGTAGCACCTATATTCCAAGAAAGCCCAGGATGTGAACAGGCAGCAGCGTCTATACGGCTGAGGACAGTGTCACAACGCGGCCAAGGGCGCCGCAACATCGGGGCACCCAGACCGCGACAGCACCAGCGCTCCAGTCGACACCCACACGCAACATCTTGCAGAGTCACACACACACATCGTGTCGCACGCCCAGTATCCGCGGAAACACCACCATCACACAATATATAAAATTGTTCTTTCGTTGTCTGCAGTAAGTTGTGCGATCACAGTACGATGGTTGGGTATTGCACCGATCGGCGAAGGCTGCTGCCACGCCGCCCCTGTGCAGCTCGGCGAACGGTCTATCGCCACGGGAAGGTTCGCATGGGGCCGGAAAACGCGCATTTACACACACGGCAGTCTCCATGTTGCACTATCGCGTTGCTCGTATCGCATTCGCAAGTGAATCAGTATAACACACATGATTGTTTCTCCCACACATCTAAAAGTCACCTGTTTCTCCCACACATCTAAAAGTCACCTAACCACCTCACCGCTGTGCAGACACACATACTCACACAAGTCCAAAGCCACCCGGCTCGTAGAAACCTCATACACCAAACAGAGCTCTAATAATATAAAACCGCAGCCAAATATCGCTTGGCTCCAGTACCTATACGTATCACTATCAGATCACACACGAAAAGGCAGATCACCCAGTCCTTTTAAGTTAAAATAAATACACGGATGTGCATTATCCAGCGCAATCCGCACGGTGGTCATTCCAACAGGAACGTGGTCAATAATTAAGCATCAATTATTATGTCTGCGTCAGATACGGATGGCCGTATTTAAAAACAGGCCATGTGGCATAGTTCTTTGGACCTCACGCAAGTAACTTGTGCTAACAGTGATGTCAATACACGACGTGTCACCAACGTGTGAACTCTAGGAGTTGCGCAAGGCGCAATAACAACTACATCGACATTATTTGATTACCCCAAGACTTTGTCAGCCCGGCAGCTAAAAAGACGCTTCTCAGAGGGACAGTAGCGACGCATCTACATTTGCCTACAGTCGCCACTCCTGCCGCCCGGGCGTCCAGCCATCAATCAAAACGCGCTACCGATTGGGAAGACACTAGCAGCTATCTGAAAGGCGTAAGTAGTTAGCGCCAATACAGCTGAACTAATGCCGCCTTCTGTCCACCCTACCTAGGAATACAGATGAATACTATCGGTTTCGGTGAGTGGCGCGTTAAAGCGTGCAGATTCGTGTGCAGTGCCCGGCGGAGCGGTCAGCCCGCCACTCTGACGGAGCTGCCGCCGGGGGGGGGGGGGGGGGTCACACGGCCGACAGCCGTCAGCTGACGCTCACCCCCAGCAGCATGGGCTCGTGCTCGGAGAGGAGACGGGCGCGCGGCCGGCCGCGCCGCAGCCGGCGCAGTCGCAGCGCGTACAGCAGCAGCACGCCGAGCACGACGAGCACGCAGGCGAGCAGCAGGTACTGGGAGCCCCAGATGCCGTACGGGCCGGCCGGGAACGAGGAGAACGTGGCCGCCTCCACCGACCTGGGGGGAAGGGGGGGGGGGGGTAAGCGATACGCTGATCTCCACAGCACTCGTTACACGTGGAATAGCACAGTTTCAGGATAAGTATCGGCGAGCTGATGGCCGCAAAACAGCTAAAAATGTTTGAAACATCTATTTCACTAGCGAATGGAATGTCATTGCACGATGGAAGGAATGCTTAGCTAATTAGCTATCCAGTGAGCAAAAGTGTTGTCCGTCGGGGGTAATTTACAGACAAACGATCTCAAACCAATCAATTAGGCGCCCAAATAAATATAATTGCTCATAAGAGCATCAATTTACAATAACATTATCCAACTAGTGCCCACACCCCTGAGCCGGCCACCGTCCGGACATCCGACCATCCAGCTACCCTTCTCACCTGACTGGCAGGAAGCGCAGTTTGAAGAGCAGCGCACCCAGGGTCCAGGTGGATACCCGGCCGCGCACCACGCTGGCGGTCGACGTCAGGCCGCCGTAGGAGCGCGGCAGGCCCAGGCCCGTGTGCAGCGCCGCCGTCAGGTACACCGACTTGAAGCACTGGCGCGCCAGCCGCTCGTCGTCCGAGGTGCCGTAGAGGCCCTCACCGCGCCGGCGCAGCAGCGTGGGCCACGAGGTGGCGCAGTAGTCCTGCCAGCGGCGGCGGAGCGCGATCAGCCTCAGTGAGTGTACCGTGATATCGGATGCCGATATACTGTACAGTGTACAGTACAGATACACCAGAACGAACACAGAAACACACAGCACGACGAGAATATTGAGAACACCGCCGGGGCTCGGAAACCCACCGTGCGCAGGGAACACATCGACAGGAGCCCACCAAAATCAGGCGGTCTGGCTGCCGGCAGTGAGGTATCTCCCCGTCTCGCCCAGTGCCCCGCTCTGCCACCTGGCCGTCGCCTCACCTTGGCCGTCTGGCTGAAGCGGCTGTAGCTGTACTGGCCGCCGCTGCGCAGCGTGTCCTCCATCGAGTACCAGAACTCAGAGAACCCGTAGAACTCGACATTGGTTAGGTTGACGGGCGGCGGCACCAGAGTGCGCGTGCAGCCCTCGGGGGGCGCCACCTCACACAGCCGGGTGATGCGCTCCTCGACGATCTGCCGACGGACATCAACATAGGGTGAGCGGAGAATGAGAGAGACGATCGGCAGCGATTTCTTGCAAGCCTCGGAAATTATCATCAGCAGCGATGACAGAAAGACAAATGGACGAGCAAAAACAGACAGCTAGACAGCCAGATATTCACAGTAAGATGGTCAGTCAGCCCAGAGTCAGCCCTCCAGACTGACGGACAGCACGTTGACCCACCTGTCGGCGGACCATCTGCTCGCAGAGGCCCCAGTCGCCGGTGCCGACCACCGGAATGGTGCAGTTGGAGCCGGCCGGGCCCGAGTGGGCGCTGGCCGCTGAGCTGTTGGTCGCCGGTGCCGACTGACTGGAAGAAGTGGCGGCGGTGGCGGCGGCGGCGGCGCACGCTGTGGTGTTACGCACCACCGGAGGGGGCTCGGTGAAATCACGGACCAGACACGGGTCGTACAGCCGGCGAGTGGTGTTGGTGTACCTGCCGAGCCGGAGGTCGAGAGTCACGACAGGGACACCGGGCACCACACATACGTACAAAGGTCCCAGAAAGCAGAATGGACGAGGAGCGCATCACATGAATAACTTCACTTTAGCCGTGACTCATGGCTGCCAGATCGACAATTATATCAAACATATCCGGATTAACATACTTAATTTCGATTTACCCTTAACTACTGAATTACCTGAAAGGCAGATAAAATACACGCCGCTGAGTCATCGACTTATTTAACCATGTGAGTGACTCATGTGCGTTAAAAATATCGCTCATAATTCCGCGCTGCCACTCGCCCAATGTCATGACAGCCCGGGTGGAACAATAGAGGCACGGCGCCGGTTCGGGGAGAAGCGTCCGGTAGTACCGCGGTGGCCGCCAGTGGCGCCGGGCCGACCCGACACGACACGACACCAGCGTGATTTCGGGAACGGAGCCGGTGGCGGCGGCGGTGTCCGTCCGTCGGGAGGAAATTACCGGCCCAGGGGTGACGGTAGGCCGTCAGTCACGCGCGCAGACGCTGACCGGACGTCCGTGCCGGCGCCCATCGACAGAGGAGGAACATAGGCTGCTCCACCTCGGGGTCCGCAGCATACCTCGAATGATTAATGAAGAAGATAACACAAGGAGAAAACGCTGCCCTAGTCGGACAGCTTTCACTTTGGTTTAAATGAGATCGGTCCCGAGATATCCCATCTGGTAATCCAGTTCCATTGTTTTACGAACATAATCTAATTGATGTTTCTGATTCCAATGTTGTCATTTCTCAAATGTTTACGCCACGGCAAATATAAATACAATGGGCCAGCGCGTTCCATACCTAAACCGTGCCAGTCAATGCATCTTACACGACGACGGAGAGAAAGTCCATCGTATATTCTCACAATCCCCTCCAATCCCACCGTATCCGTCACATCTCCCCTGCTCCCACCTCCCCGGTCCGTGACACCTCACCTGGCCCGGACGGCCTCGCTGTGACGCCGGTAGGCCTCATTGGCGCCGTAGCCCAGGAAAGTCGTGACGTAGACGCGGTACGTGTGCTCCCGGTCGTGGTCGGCGCAGCCCAGGTTGATAGTGGCCATCGAGGCACGGTGGACCTTTCCCTCCTAAAATAACGGCAGGGCGGGATGGGAGTCGGTGAGATTACAAGGAAGTTTCTGGAAGGGGGGGGGGGGGTCATTAGCATGAAACACTTGAAGTGACAGTGGGATCACAGTAGGTCATTGTTGGGACGAGACTGCCACTGTGGCATTAGCATTGCGGCAGCTGGAGCCACACTGGTATCATGGTATGAGATGTAGTCAGTAGTCTGCCGCCGTGGCCTCTGCAAACCGAGCAGCATAGAGATGGCATACTTGGCATACTAGATGACACCTTGTTGACATACTAGGCGCTAGAGAAAATGAAAGCTCAGTCGGCAAACGGGTTAGTACACCCCTCTCCCGTTCCAGCCCCAATATTTCCATTTCCTTTGCAATACCAATGAGCGACAGCATCGCCCGGTGCAGCTCTCAACAGCGATCAGCGCGATGTATTTCTGCATTTCGAACTCCACAATATGTCTTCAAGCCAACCCGACGCTACGCCGTCACCTCTCGTGTTCGAATATCAGCTCACCAGTGCCTTGAGCTGCTCGGCGGATGTGATCTCGAAGCCGATCTGCATGGAGGCGCCGCCCATGTCGAGCGCTCCGACCGTCTCCAGCCGGCGGATGGGCTGGTCAGAGACCGTCTCCACCGTCACCGTCGGCCCGTCGTGGCCGTGACGGAACCTACGGGTTGTGACAGACGGGGTCAGAAAAGAACGGAGAGGGAGGGAGGGAGGTGGGGACGGATAGGGAGAGGAAGACGGAAGAGGGAGGGAGAGCGAGAGGGACAGAAGGATGTAGAAAGAGAGAGGTAGATAAAGATATAGACAGAGAAAGACGAATAGAAAAAAGAGAGCGGTACAACGAGCAAATCGAGAAGAAAAACGGATACCAGACGAAACAAGACGAAAGAAAGCGGAAAAGAGAGCCAGCTCACCGTCCCAGTGCGAAGTTGATGGCGATCCACTGGTAGATGCCCTCCTCGCGGCCCGAGATGACCTGGATGTTGTTCTCGGCCAGCAGAAACTGGTATCGCCGTCCGATGGCCCGGTGCAGGTTCTCGATAATGGCCGTCTGGGTGCTGTGGGAGGCGGCCGGACCGACACGGTGCATTGGTCAGAACCGGCGGTTTTGGCAGAGCGTCTAACATTCAGGTATTAAGAAATGTATAAAAAAAAAACAATGAAATTATAATAGTGCGATTTATAACAAAACTATAAATAGCCGCCAAAGCATGACACAAAATCATGCAAACGAGATTCACTGAATCGTACTCTACAAAACAATAACGAGAAGCCGGCAGCAAAGCCGTGTACAGCACAAGATAATAAACGCGGATCGTAGGAAAACAGCCCACACCAAACACACTACTACAAATTGAGCCACCTAGGCCATACTCAGAATGGTGCGAACATTGCATGCGATGATGAATGTCAGGAAAATTAATCCGCGAGCCCAGGGGGATCCTGAACTTGAGTCGGGCGGCGGGGGGGGGGGGGTATTGTCTTGTTCCGCGTTGGTGAGTCAGAGGGCCACCTACTCTTTGGAGAGCAGCCTCATGCCGGCCGTGGCCATGATGTAGAGCGACGTCTCGCGGTGTTTCTCGGCCGGGATGTGGGTGGCGGCGTAGTCGAGAAGGGGTCGCACGTAGTCGCCGGCCCGCTCGGGGGTGAACCGGAGGGAGGACAGACCTGTCGACATGGCGTCAACGGTCAGCGCGCCTGCACGGGGCACCGTGTACCCGGACCGGACGGCGATCCGGCCAGTCGCAACAGGAAGAGGGGTCATAATTAGACAGCAGCTCCTCATTTCGGTAGGACCGGAAACGTTGCATTCTAACCGAACACCGCATGGAACGTAGACGTTTGTCATTTCTAAGCTAGTTTCCAACAAACAAGGCACACTATTCCAGCACAAGAGCGGCACCCACCGGGAGTGATCATGTGGACGCGCGGCTGTCCGCTGTGGTCCCGCAGCGGCTGGATGTTGAGCAGGTCCTTCCGGTTGCCCGTGTGCGGGGGCCACACGTAGATGTGCGCCCGGCTGCCCGAGCTGCCGGCGTCGATCACTATCGCGTAGCCGAGCCCCTCGGCGGCCAGCGGCGAGCGACTCTCGGACCAGTAGCCTGCGGCGGCACAGAGACGACGGTGACACAGCGGCGACGGCGGCACTGACATGAGCGTCTAACAGCTGCTGTTTGACATTCTTTCACTCGAGCTTCTAATTAAGGATGTTTAAGTTATAGCTTGCGTTTCCCGTCACGATTATTGGTGGGCATGGGAACCGGGACATTGGCATTATAGTTATCACATTAAAAGACGTCCCGAAACATGAAAAAGTAAAAACGTCGGGGCCGCTGCTCAGAGCACTGAGCTAGTGCTGTCAGTAGCATCTGCCCGATCCCCAGCCCGCGTGATAGGCTGTCATATCGGCCGGCCCGGCGTGGGTCTGTCACACCGGCCCAGCCCCACGTGGGCCTGTCAGATCGGCCGACCGACAGACGTCAGGCTGACGGGCGGTAGCGCGGCCGAGCAGGGGTCAGCTGCGGGGCGCAGCCGCCCACACAGCCAGCTGTCCGTCACCGCTGCTGGCATTCAGCAAACCTGGCGCAGTTCGGTGCATGTCTGCATGCAGCCGGCTTTCCCATAAATGGAAGTCACTTGCTGGCGTTTCTTAACCCTCGCTTGGCCAGGGCGAGTGACCGATCACGACCGCTGGGGCGTTCCACGACAAATCGACAAGTGCCCTGCACCCTCATATTTTATTTTTTGCTTAAAATTGGTCTAATGGGTTGTGATGGGCGGGGAAGCCAGCTGTGGCAAGGATTTTTTTCTTCGAACAACGGTTTCCGAGATATAGCCTCGGGCAATTCTTGGAGTTCGCGCTGCAGCCCTATGTTTGGCGGTTTATAACTCAGAAACTATTAGTTTTTTACGATAAAACTTCATATGGTTCAACTCACAATCAACCAACAAACATTTTGGCTATCTCGGATTTTCAATTTTTGAAAATTTTGATCACGTGACCTATTGTCCTATTTTTCGAAGAGTGACCTTGATATTTTTCCCACTGAAAGTTGCAATTTTGTCTGATGACGATTAAAGCCTTATCAATTGTCATTCATATGCGATAATAAAAAAAGTGGTTATCGCCCTGCGTTGACCTCAGGTCAGGTCATTTTTATGACCTGTCCATTATTACGAGCGGGAGCGCCAGCGAGATCTCGAGAATAAAGCAAGATAGCGACAAGCGGTAAACGGTAAAGGGTACACACGGATAAGGTCTATAATTTTTACTGAGGTCATTTTCAGGTCAGGTCAAAGATGACGTCACAGGAGCTAAAAGGAAGTCAAAATAGCGGCACTATACATATATATATATATATATATATATATATATATATATATATATATATATATATATATATATATATATATATATAAAGTTTTTCTCGAATAACTTTCAAGGTATCCCAGCTAGGAACAAACTAATAGCACCATCGTGATCCTCTCGTCGATCCGCATCGAAACATATGTATGTTGACCTCGAAAGGTCGAAAGGTCAAAAGTTGACCTTAGATCACGTGACCTGAAGTCCCAAACACTGAGTTACAAGTAACTATGACACACTGAACATGAAATGATACTAATGGTACAGTGTACAAACATGGTGTATGTGCCTATGTGCATAACAACATCACTGTTGGTAATGTTCAAGCTCCAATTCCCAATGTTCTCACCTTCTGTCTTGTGTCTTATAATGTTTTTGTTGCTGTAGTCTACCGACCTCCCTCTTATTCTGACACTGAGAACGAACTTGTTTGCTCCTTTCTAAGTAACTTCTGCAGTGATAAGGAAGTGATATTGTTAGGAGATTTCAATCTTCCTGGACTTGACTGGTGCCATGGAAATCCATTTAATAGTTCAGGAGGATCGAGGACAATCCAAATGTTTGTTGACATATTTAACTCTCTTGGACTTACGCAGTGGGTTACACAGCCAACCTACCCGAGGTCAGGCAATACACTGGACCTGGTCTTCACATCTGAGCCAGACCGTATTGGTCAACTTATGGTACAAGCCCCTCTCCCAGGTTGTGACCACTGTCCGACGATATGTGACTATGTCTTTGAAAATGTTGCTGCTGACCCTCATGGGAGGACAATGTCCCGCAGGAGAAACTGGCACAAAGCTCGATATGCTTCAATGCGTAGATCACTACAGCTCTTGGACTGGGACTTCGAGCTGGCCTACCTGAATGTGGAGGACTCGTTTAACCGTTTCACAGCCATCATTTCAGAGATGGTAGACCTACATGTGCCAACACAGCAAGCTAATCCCCCTAAACCACCCTGGAAAACAAGACCCCCGATTTCCTTAATTCACAGGCGCCAGGCAGCTTGGCAGACGTACAAGAGGGTGAGGCAGCAATCTGGCAGAAGCTCTACTGGTACACTGGCCGCATATAAGCTTTTCTCATCTGTAAACCGCGAGTTGCGAAATTTTGCCGCCAGATCGCAGTGTGATTACGAATCTAGTCTTATTGACAGGTCAAAGGACAACCCCAAACTGCTCCATTCTTATATAAGAAACAAGAAGACTGGCAGACCAGCGGTTGGTCCCTTGCTTTTGCAATCTGGTCACCATACTGATGATCCCACAGCTATGGCTGAGCTACTTGCAACATCTTTTGCCTCTGTATTCACCACTGTCACCCCCACTAACCCCTCGCCCCACCAGGCCTTCGACGGGACTCTCAGCCATGTAGAAGTATGTACAGAGAATGTTCGCCATGCTCTCAAAGATCTCGACCCTAACTCTGCCATGGGCCCCGATGGAATACATCCACAGGTATTGAAGGAATGTGCTGATGACCTCGCCTACCCTCTACAGATTATATACACGAGATCACAGAGAGAGGGACGACTACCCTCTTGCTGGAAAAAATCCCTAGTTATACCTATTTTCAAGAAGGGCTCCCGGTTTGATCCACTAAACTATAGACCTATCAGTCTGACGTCTGTTGTGTGCAAAACGATGGAACGCCTGATTTGCACGCAGATACGTAATTACCTGGAAACGAACTCACTGCTGACCTCAAACCAATTCGGTTTCAGGGCTGGCAGAAGTACAATGGACCAGCTACTCCTAGCTTATAACACAGTGTCTAAAAACATGGACCTTGGTGGCGTGACTGACGTCATTCTCTTCGATTTCAGTAAGGCGTTCGATGTCGTCTGCCACGATCTCATGATAACCAAACTGAGATCGATTGGTTTGACAGGTGCTCTCATTGACTGGATACGTTCATTTCTCCAGGGCAGACAGATGCAGGTGTGTGTGAAGGACATGATAAGCCAACCTAGGGTTGTCAACAGTGGTGTACCGCAGGGCTCTGTCCTTGGGCCCCTGTTGTTCCTGGTTTATATTGACGGCGTAGCATCACAGCTGAGAAGTGAATATAAAATTTTTGCAGATGACCTGAAACTTTATGCCTGTGTGAAACATGCCCCAGGAACCTCACCAGTGTTATCCTCTGCCCAAGTACAAAAAGACATTGATACACTGCAAACCACAGCAGCATCGTGGTGTCTGAAAATGAACCCAAAGAAATGTGCAGTTCTCCGCTTTGCGAGGCCCCGCGCTAACTTGCCTTCACCGGTGTACTTCCTTGATGGACAGCAAATCCCACATGTAGATTCTCACTCTGATCTTGGTGTTACTGTCGACTCGCAGCTTAAATTTCACGAGCACATTAGGACTGTTGCACACAAGGCTAGCGGTCTGGCCCATAGTTTTCTTAAGTCTACCGTTTGCAGGTCTTGCGCATTTATGTTGTTCTTGCTCACTACTCATATCCGACCTGTTATAGAATACTGTTCATGCTTGTGGCATACAGGTTATCTGAAAGACTTGCGGGTCTTAGAAAATGTTCAGAGGAAGTGGACAAAGCGAGTGGATGGAATGAATGGATTAAGCTATGCAGATCGCCTACAGTCCTTGAACCTGTATTCTGTCCAAGGGAGGCTCATTCGTGCGGACTTGATACAATGTTGGAAGCTGTTTAACGGTAGATCGTGCCTGAGTCCAGATGACCTGTTCGACCGCCCTCCACAGGAGCGGACTAGGGGCCACTGCTTTAGGATTTTCCCCACTCTCACCCACACAGACACTAGAAAGCGCTTTTTCTCTGTCAGATGCATTGCTGTTTGGAACTCACTGCCTGAGGATGCTGTCCGTGCACCTAACATAGCTAGCTTTAAGAAAATGATTGAGGTACATGCACGTAATAGCCTGTTCAGATATGATTGAGGATGAGCAGTGCTGATTTTGTAAGTAGTTATAGGTATGTAGGTTACTTCCTCGTAGCTAAGCGTGTAGAAATGTGACTGTGTTCATCTGACGAGCTTGTGGAAGACGCACAATACCAGTCAAAACTCCCAGGACTAATGGTCAAGAATATCACAACTGGGCTGGCGCGTCTGGCATTCAGGGTTCCTTCCAATTCCTTTCGGTCCTTCCACCTTGCCTTTTCTTTCCGACACAAATGGGAACCCAACCAGGTAAGAGAACCAGGTAAGAGGACAGGCAACAACAATACAATTGCCAGGGCCGTCCACCAACCTCCTCCTAGCCGTCCATGCTACTGTGCATCAATCAGACTACTGTGAAGCCATAACAAGGCTACTCTAACTGTAACTCACCTTGATAGCTATGGATGGTGGCCAGTGTATGAGTGACCAGAAGAATTGTACAGATGAGCAGCGTCAGTGTGGTGAGAACCGGCGTCCAAATGGGTGCTGTAGCCTTCAGCAGTCCCTGAAGTCGCTGGCTGAGCATGCCACTCAGACATGGTACATTTATCCTGCCAAAGAAATCAGCACATATTCTCAGGGAACATAACATCAAATCATCTCTCGATTAATATTAATCAAGGCAAACAATCAAAATGGTCAAATATTACAAGCCACATCTTTTTTGACCAACTGAAAAACAAAACAAAAAGATAGCTAGCAGCAAAAGAACACGAACTAAGGAATCCAAGTAATTCACCTTTGAAAATACGAATGTGCTTACCTTGGCATCATTTTGATTTGACTGCAATAAGTGGCGTTTTCAGAAATGGGTTGAGGTTGGTTGCTCTTGACCAAATCCAGCAGATTCGTTTTGATGCATGGTTAAGATCTAAGCAAAGGATATTTCCGTTCTAAATTTCCATTATAGGTATTCCGCCAGCCGCCGCGGAGAGCGACAACGACAACCCCACCACACCACGACAGCTGTTCGTTTGTTATGAATTCACCCCACTGAACTCTATAATGTGGAATGCGCATCGGCCGCCAAATGGTGTCCAACGGTGCCGCCATGTTGCGCAGACCAGAAAGCGGCCGCCGCCTGTGCTGGGGAATAGGGAATTCGGGACCTCGATTTACGTTTGCGGTCGCTGCATCCGTTACGCTCAAGCTATGTGGACACGGAACCCGGCATCTTACGCAGAATTGAGTGGAGAACAAGATGAAATCCTAAAAAATAATCAGCTATAAGGAACTAATACGTTAAACCCTTATAAGTCAATGGGGAAATATGAAAATTGTTATTTTGGCGCCGAGAATGATCTGAAACTATCTCAAGCATATAAAATCATGATTTCATGCACTCTTTGCAAGGTCCTATGCTTCATATTTGCATTGTTGCCCTTGCGTGACGTCATTCGTGACGTCACAAGGGTCACCATTTTTCTTCAATAACTCCCGATCAAATTGAGCTAGCGAGTCGGGAAAGCCACCAATGGACTCAGGAAGACCTGCCGAATCGAATGATATGCGACATGACCTCTTTCGACCAGCTTCGTGACCTGGGGGTGCTGACCTGACCTTGACCTGAGGTCAATACCCTAAGTTGACCTGACCCGAACAAAAAGTATATCACTCGATGCGCCTGAGCTAGCTGAACACGATGATATCAAAATCGCGGCGCTACGGCCATTTTTGGCGAAGTTATTTACCAAAAACCGAACCCGTGCCTTAGATCACTTGACCTGACCTCAGAGGTCACCGGTTGACCTGAGACCCTTACAGCGGGTTCCTACCAGTCACTCTGCATTATACTTTGCCGCATACGACCACTTTACCGCTTAATTCTAGTTTAATTAGCGGTGCATTAGCGAGGTGGGTTCAACCAACCCCCTCGGCCGGGGCAAATGTAGGTCAGGCGAGTGAATTTGAGGAATTCTGAAGATACGATCGTGTTCCCCACTCAATTCTGCGTAAGATGCCGGGTTCCGTATCTACGTAACTTGAACGTAACGGATACGGCGGCCGCAAACGTAAATCGAGGTCCCGAATTCCCTATTCCTCAACACAGGCGGCAGCCGGTTTCTGGTCTGCGCAATATGGCCGCCACCGTTAGACACTACGGCCAATAGGGTTGAAGCGGCATTGCTCCCCTGTGATTCACCCGTTGCGATTCCGCGATATGCCCTCTGTTCGGTATTCAGCATGCTGCCAGTTTTCCCCATATTTGGAAGTTCCTTGTTGGCGTTCCCTGCCCTCTCATTGGTGAACCACGCTGACCACGTGAATTCGACCAATGAGAAGCCAGATACCGTCATCAGGCTGCCAGAGACCGAACAGATCAATGGCTTACAACCAAACTTCCCAGTACCTCCCCTAGATGGCTCTCTACGCCCTAAAATTAGAATACGAAGATATTAGTGAGGGATGTCGGAGGGATGATCCCGGCTCCGGCGGTATGTAGGGCCTTGACTCCGGCTACGACAATCTCCGTTCCGTCGTTTCCATCCCCAGGATACTGAAATCCTTCTCCACGCCGCAACCCCCACTCCGGGGCCCAGTTTCATCGCCTAGTATCCACTAACCTGTGTGATTGCACGCACATAGTCGTTGACTGAGACGTTGCGGGCCGCATAGGCGGCGGAACGGGGAGGGCACCGGGGCACCGTGCCCCCCTTTGATTTTGGCATTTTAACATAAGCCCTATCGGCGTTGCATGGAAAGAATGGGACCAAAATTCGGCAGTGTCCCCCTTAATTGAACGCGTTCCGCCTCTACTGGCGGGCCGAACCCATAACCCAAACGTTTCTCCAGCGTCTAGATGTAGCATGCCGCGCCCGTAATACACCTTGGACCCTGACGTGACTTAGCACAATAAACGACGATGCGATCGGAAGAACCATGACTTTAACAATGACAGCATAATCAATGCTAAATAGGTAGGGAACGAATTGAAAATAATGTCATCGGCACTAATAGCTGTCGTTTCTTTTTTTCGAGCAGAGAGCACTTGACTTGACATCGAATATGCGTAGTACGACGGTCACACTCACAACCCATCACAAGTCGACAATCGACAAGGAAAAGTCAGGCCACTGTTTGAATTTATATTTGTCGCCAATCAGTGCAGACTCGGCCGCTTGTCGGGCCTGCCCTCGACCTTCCTCTTCTCGAAGGTCTTCTTCTGTTGAGCTGTGCTCTTGTTATGCTTACGGGAGAACCGCATGTTGCGCAGGTACTTGGCATCAACCTGAAATAAAATCAAATGTTTATTACCTTACGCTACTGAAGGTTTTCGTCGACAAGTTACGCAATAAGTTAAAACATTTACCATAAGCACAGTAAGTTCCCATGCTACCACAAAGCATGTGTCAAGACATAACCAAAAAGGTCTGACAGCTAATCTTATAATTCAATGAAAAGCGTTATGGACAGAAGAAAATGGAATAGGAAGATATTGGAAAGAAATTGATACGTTTATTGTCAGCACGAAATACAGCAGCACACCAAATCAATTCGTCTCGCCGGTACTTCATATCGCATGACCATGGGAAAAGTTAGCGGCATGAATTTAGCTAGCAAAGCAATTATAATAGGGGTCATATTTTACAATAGGGGTATAATATTATAATATAATATTATACCGCAGATATATATTATATATCATAATATTATAATATATAATATAATAATATTATATCATAACAGGGGTCAGATCCCTTTTTCGCAAGCAGTTAGCGTAAAAAGCGTCCAATCGCGACACCCTAGTTACTCAATTTTACACATTCCCTGAAGATTTTTATCACCATGTCCCACATGACCTCCAACCTGCAACCTGTTTCTGAGGACATCAGCAGGCATGAGGCAAGAATTGCAATCCGGCGAAGTCAGCTTTCTTACGCGCGTTTCCATACTTTTTTGTGTGATTCCGAAAGTGTCGACAAGTGACACGTTTATCCCATGAATTATGGTAGATGTCATGATCACGTTAAGGTTAGGTCAAGGTCAATGACTTTAGATAACGTTGGTTCACTGCCTTGAGTTTTACATGGCCCTGATCGGCGGCCGGCTAGTACTCTTGCCGGCGCTCACATACGTGCTGGTTGTCCCGGCAACGGACTATTGACCAACGAGAAGCGAGGAAAGTGCAATGTCACTGCGATTTTTCATACATATACCTGTACCCCCGTAGCGCGCTTCTCATTGGTCAATAGCCCGTTACCGTGGCAACGTGCACGTATGTGTGCGCGGGCTAGCGCGCTAGCCGGCCGCCGAACAGCGCTCATGTTTCTAAGGAAGTTTTTGAAGGTGATTTCGAATTAATCATCCATATGAACATTTGAGAGGTAGTTTTGGTGCCCATGCACATGTTACGAGGCTATAAAATTTGTTGGTTAAACTTAACACCCATCATGGATACCAATAGCTAGCAGGATGTCTACTGGTTGGCCTGACCTGACCTACTCCAAAGGTACAAACTAGTGGTGTCAATCGGTTACCGAAAATTTCGGTTACCGAAAATATATGCTGACCGATTTGGTAATCGGTCGGTCAGGCCCCCCAAAAATTGGACACTTTACGTCACCCTGCCAGTGAAACCATTTTCAAAAAGAGAAAGTATTCCATTTTTGCCTAGTTAAAATGAAATTTATTGGGATGTTAATATAGAGTTGCAAAATTTCCCCCAAATGTCAAATGCCACATTTTGGCAACTTCATTAGCCATCCCACCCAGCAGGCAGCAGCCACCCATTGTCCAACCACAACTACAAGCAGGCTGATTTTGACTCAGTTGGCCCCACAAGTACACACAATTTTGAAAATTTATTCCAGTCTAACTGTTAAATTTCACCTGTAATCAAAGAAGTATTGCCTGCAAAAATCATTATACAGTCATCAAAAATGCAAGGACAAAAATAACTTGAATTACTGAAATGTGTTTCTGAAGACTGGACAGTTAGCACTTAGCACTTAGCAGTGATCACATTTACATTTCACAGGTGTTCTACTAAACCGACCGATTTGGTCGGTCGGTTTCCACATTCTCCTTAAATATTGCAGGTACCAACCAAATGTTTGAAATCTAGATGACCACAGCATAAAAACATAGGAATCTTGACAAAAACTACAGATTCGGCCCATGTCCAATTTCTGGAATCTTCCACATTCCAAACACAAGGAAGGATTTCGAAACAGATGCGCCATAACAGAGACTTTAAACCAGCTGATTAAGTTGCTGCAAAAAAGTTTTGGACTGTTACATGCTGACTCGTGAATTATTATTTTTTGATGTAAATGATCCAACACGATATTTAATTCTAATGAAATCAACATTGTGAGTGTAATCCACTACAAGAAAATTAATTTCCCTCCAATAACTCTACCAAAAGGGCATATAAATAAATATTACGTCATCATCATACATCCTTTCGTTAGGGAAGAGAGGATCTTAAAAAGTCAATCCTTGGTTCTTCTATTACTTTTGCGCCACTTTGGCGCCACTTTGTATTAGGGTTTGTTCCCGTCGCTCCTCCCAAAAAATCTCGGATGAGGTTGGATGAGCTTGGAGGAGAGCCGTTTCAGAGGAGCCACGGGAACATTTTCGCGAGGAAATCAGCTGTTTGCGGGCTGTAACGGTTGGCGATTTATGGCGCGCAAACATAAATCAAGAGATAATAAACGCTTTCTAATAAAATAACCATAGATTAACACGCGCACTGCAGGGGGGGGGGTTGTTTTCAACCCCCCCCCCCCTGTGGTTTTTCGCAAATCGCGAGAAAACGGCGGCGCGTAGCGCCGCCAAATTTTGCATACCTGTTCTCCCAACTTTTGCACACCTTGAGTAAAAATTTTAACCCCAGGTGACCTATGGTCAGGTCACCAGGTCAGGTCAAGTGACCCTACCTCGAAACGTAAATTTCGAAGTTTGCAATCCCACCAAGCCCACAGTTGTTGAGATATGATCTTGAAACCCACAGGAAATAGTAAAGTCATCACGAGCTACAACTTGTATATCTCGGAATTTTTATATCGATGACCTAAGGTCAGGTCATTTTTGCGACCGGCCCATTATAAGTCAATGGGAGAAATTTCAACTTACTCTGAATGCCATCCTATGACTTCAATACGCTCAGGATCATAGTATTACAGGTCCCTGTTGGTGATTTCACCGAAACATATCACTTATGACCTTTGGAAGGTGATCTCCAGGTCATCTTAGGTCACCTGAGGTCACCAGCGGTTTTTCTTCAATAACTTGAGATTGAATAAAGATAGAGACTCCGTTCGACGTTTATCGTGTTTTTCTCGTCAATGCGGATCGAATGATATGCAACATGACCTATTTCGGTCAGGTCATGACCTTGACCTGAGGTCAATTTTTCAACTTGACCTTTCGAGGTCATATCATATATCATTCGATGCGCCTTGACGAGCTAAGAACGATGGCGTTCGAATCGATCCTATGTCTTGTGTGCAAGACAAGTTATTCAAGAAAAACTACCGCGAAATTCCTGTTGTGAAAATCGTAACATTTTGTCTTCGGTGACCTCTGGTGACCTCGTTTTTGACCTGACCCAAAAATGATCTTAGTATTTCTTGTAGATCTCATCTCAACCTATCCAACGCCGTTTACCGCTTGTCGCTACGTTGCGCCGTTTTCGAGATCTCAGGGGGGGGGGGGGTTGTTTTCAACCCCCCCCCCTGCAGTTCGTGTTCGGCTCAGACCCGCTGCAGTGCGCGTGTTAATATCAGATATTACTATTTAAAGATATCCAATCGTCATCAATCACTAAAATCATTTCCACTTCCCTCAAATCTCATTTATAAACAATTCATATTCGTATTACGTGCGCCAAATGTGTCTCAGCAGAGCCTCCTCCAAAAAACCAACTTTCGTTTGGGATGAGGGAGGAGGCAAATAGTGGTGGTGAGATGTGAAATCAAGATGAGCTTGGAGGAGCTTGGAGGAGCGACGGGAACGACTTTTTGAAATGAGAGGAGGTTAGAGGAGCTTGGAGGAGGTTAGAGGAGCGACGGGAACAAACCCTTAGTTTTGTCTCTGCATATTTTGTTTTCTTGTAAAGATAAGAAAAACAAGAGATAAGACAAAGTGCCTGTTTATGAATTTTCATGTCATTTTTGGGACAAAATTCAAGCTCAGAGCTACCTAGTACCTGCCTTTTCAGCTGGATTTTCAGTGTCAAATTCTTTGTAGGGTATCTCAGACCACATCTCAAGGCTCAAGGCAAGTTTCCAAGCAGTTTTGATGTGTTTTGTGGTGTGTTGATTCCGCCTTTTCTCCTAGGGAATGTTGTCATGAACATAGGTACCTATTACCAACCATTTGACTTACTAATTGATCGTGCTTTTGCAACATGAATGAGCATTCTTCCTTACATAGACCACAGTAGATTCTTGACAATTCTAATTAACCAAATCTGTGAAATGCTGAGGTCCATGTGTTGCTACCCTCAGCAATGTAACTTCTACCACAAAATGTATTTTGCAGTGGCTAAGGATTGACTGAACTTGGACTGAAATGCCATTTCCCATTATTTTCCATCAGAATTTGCCAAATATTTTAATTTTGGGGTAGAGTAATAGCAAATAGAATTTCGGTCAAATTTCGGTCAAATTTTGGCTTGGGATTTATCGGTCGGTATTCGGTCGGAAATTTTCCCCAAATTTTGGTTTCGGTCGGTATCGGTCAGACATTTTTTGGAAAATGACATCACTAGTACAAACACATGATTGATCAAAACAAAACAAATGCTAAGTTCAGAATCAGGAATGTAGGGCATGACAGAAGAAATAAGCACACTACGTGGAGTCCAAGGAGGTCCCAAAATTCTAGGCATTTGGTACTGGTTGGCCTGACCTGACCTACTCCATATGTACAAACACATGATTGATCAAAACAAAACCAATGCTAAGTTCAGAATCAGGAATGTAGGGCATGACAGAAAAAAATAAGCACACTACATGGAGTCCAAGGAGGTCCCAAAATTCTAGGCATTTGGGCCAAGCTGCCATGCAAAGGCAAGCTGATTGTTAGGGTGACCTCTCACCTGAGGTAATGACCCCCTGGCCCAATGTAATCTTTTGCCTTGACACAACATCATAACCCTAATCTAGAAGGTAAGCCACTGGCCAATGACTTTAAATTAGCACCATCAACTCCCTGCTATGGTCCCAAACAAAGCATTACTTTTTGTGTGTGAAGTTCTAGCTCACTCAGTAGCTGGAAAGCCATTAGGTTCAATTGATTCCTTGCCTATTTGCAAGGGACTGTGAAAGTGTCTTGAAACCAGTGTCTTGAAATTGAGCTGATTTGGATGGGAAACAACATCCAAATAAAAATAAAATTTCACCATTTTCCATTATCATCAAGGACAGTTTTCCTCCCAATTCCACAAAGGAAGACTATCTGGGTTTATGCCTAAATTTCATCCTAAATCCTGCCTTATTTGAGAATAATTAAAAGCTATTCTTTTTCTACTCTTTTGGGACTCTTCTGAGTTCTGAGTCTGCTAGCCTGACCAAGAAAGCAATTTATCACCAAAAAGAAGCACAAAGTTGTTAACCAGTCTCCCCAAGCAAAATAATGACCACTCACGCCTTTCAGAGAAGGGTGGCGACTGCTCTTGATCTTCTTCACAGGGTTCCTGTGAGCCTTGTAGCCTGAAAAGCATGTGGAGGGTCAAAACCAATCCTGAACTCTAGGTATCAGTATGTAAATGAAGCATTGACCACAGCCAGACCATCATAGCACTTTTAACCAGCAACTTTTTATTAGGTGACAGCTTGTTTGACCATTGTCAAATTCAAATGGTCTGTGCAGTTCAATGATCAGGATTGAGAGGCCAAGTAACACCAGCAATGAAATTGCACATATAAGAAAAACAGCAGCCTCCAGAAAAAATGATATCAGCGCTCAAGTTCATACTGACATTCCTCCAAGAGGAGAGCAAGCTAGAATAATTACAAACCAACTTGCTGTTTCACCCCCAATTGAGCAATTTCATGAAATACAAGCATGAACACATTCACCATTATGAATGGTTTTCAATAAAAGGTATAGATCTATCAGTCACTAAAGACACCAGATCAAAGACCTATAAATCAAGGTCAAAGACATACAAATCAGAGTACCTATATTTGATGGGAAATAACTTCAGAATAATTCACACAGATTCCAGGGCCCTGTTCCACAATGTAATGCAAAAGTGCATAACACTGTGATGTTGTATTGGTCCGACATGCAATACAAATTATGCTCAACACTCCAGCAGTGCCAAAAACCAAGAGTACTTTGGGGCTGGATGGCCTGTCCTCTGGACGGGCTCAGCCCCGGTGACTCACTAGGGTGCCTGCCCAAATCAATGTCCCCCCTATATCCTATCATCCTCCCGGCTCTGAAATGGTCTCATTGGACCGAAAGGGCCTAACCCAACAAAACAAACAAAACAAGCACATCAGTGACATTCAGCGCAGGATGACAGGCATCTTACCCAAATGCTATCAATTATACTTACTCTGATTATGCGCGGTATGATTCTTGGACTTGGCCATGGCGAATAGACTGAACCTGCGGAACAAACTATGTGTAAAATTCTGCAAGTATGGTGAGAAAAACTAGGAAAATAAGTTAATAGGAAATTCCATAACATTAAAAAGAAATAAAAAACATCGGATGGCACGAAATACAATTAAATAGACAAAAACAACGACATCAAACTCACCTACTCACACGCGCACGGAAAAGGACTTATAGTGTTGGGTGAAATTGGTCGTAATTATATTGAATGAAAAATCTCATAACATCTGTATTCAAACTAAAATTTTACCTTAATTTAAATCAGACTTAATATCATGAAGGAATTCATTAAAACAAAAGCAATTTGCAGGAAGCCATTTAATAGTGCTGTAAAATAGGAATCATATTTTGTATTACCAGTACGAAATTGCAAACTCAGCCCGTAGTGTCACCGGTAGCATGGCAGTTACGTTTGCTTACCAGAGGCCAGTTTCACCAATAAAAAACAGACGGCTGCGATTCTTTTTTGACAAAACGATAGTCTCAATTGTCATTTACTGTTAAAAATTCTAATCGCCGACTTGAAAAATGTAATAACGTAGCTTTCAAGTGCTATATTAGGTATTTGGTCAGCAACTACTTTTTTTCACCGGTAAATAGGATTTATAGACTATCGTTTTGTCAAAAAATAATCGCAGCCGTCTGTTTTTTATTGGTGAAACTGGCCTCAGGTAAGTTCATTTGTAGTCTTGGCCCTTGGCCCAGCAAGAATATCAACTTAACATTACAGCCACAAGACGATCATCCGTTTTGACCTCAGTTTTTTTTTTCTTGTCCTCAGTTATTCTGGCGATGGCTACTGCGGTGCCTATCAGCGTTACGAGAGCTGGTGAATGAATGAACGAGAGGATATGAATGAAGCATCCCTGTAGTATAACCCCAGAGTGACTATTATCGCGACTCGGTCGTCTTCCTCATGTCCGCCTGTCGGGATGGGCCGGGCCATCGAGCCGCAGCAGGACCTGGGACGTGGAAATGGAAGCTGTCCCGAGTCGGACCGACGGGCACAGAGCGACCACTAACGTCAACAGGCACTAACTACCTTTTGCTCCTCGATCGGCGATTCCCGCCTGGTCCCCGACACGAACGTGCCAGGTGAAGGTCGTTGGGACTTGGGCGTGGGAACAGCGGAGACGATCTCCAAAACATCAGTCACCCCTGGCAGTTTCAACGAGCTTGCAAAACAATCAAAGGAAGATCTCCAGCAATGAGAAAATAATACTTGGAAGCAGCGAATGGCAGAGATACAGCAGAGCTTACCCCTTTTTTGCACCCTCAGCAACCATTGATCCACGCCTATACGCCCATATGGGTCTAGTGTGTGTTCTAGTGTGATCATTGAAAAGTGATACTTATAGCTCCATTGTTGAAATATACGGACCGCTTTATTTTGATGATGCATGCATTTTATAGCAAAGCCAAGTACATGTCCACATAAAACGGGAATTTTATTACGATAACAGGCTTTGTAGTCAGCGTAGTACGTCCGCGCCCGGAATCTCCATCGCTGCTTGCATGGATACAGATCTGAAGAACTGTTAAGCCTGGAGCAAGCTACGCGGCGGCCCTATCATATCACACGCCCGACGGCGTCACGTGCAGCCGCGCGAGCAGCCCCTCTGAGCGGCGCCGGCCTGGTCCCGTGGACCGCGTCACCAGTGCCACCAATTACATCTCCACCGTTCACTAGTCAGCGTTAGGAGTCATTGCTCTGTAGCGCGTCGAATTGGTTTCCTAGGCTGAGTTTGGGCGCCTGCGACCGTGATTCCTGTGACGTTGTGTTGCCATGCCGAACCCGCTGGAAGTCCTGACCACCGGCCCTGCGGAACAGACACAGATTGACAGTCAGTATAAAGATAGACCGAGTCAGCGTTGACGGATGGAATGGGCCATGATGGGGCATCGGGCGATTGATACATTTGTTCGCTCAAAAGTTAATGTAAGTGTATCTAACAGTGTTATCTTCTACACATACACCAGAGATGCTCGATAATACACAAGGGGAATTCAGCTAAACTGAAACATTTTCCCTAAATCTAAAAGAAACATATCACCACGTCAACAATTAAATAAATCGTGTTAACATACTCATTATCCCAACTTGATTTCAAGACCTCTCGGCTTTATTGCATGCGAAACCACTATACATCTAACCTAAGCAACGTTCACGACTATACTATCAGGGATTCCAGCACAATGCCGAGCCGGATGGATAGATTATGACAGCGACTTCTCCCGTTACCTCGCTCCGCCGCGCTGGCCCCAGGCGCCGCGCGCCGTCTCCTCCACGGCCGAGCCGAGCGTGGGGAACGCCTCGTCGCTGCTGATGTCGGGCGCCTTCTTGCTGTGCCAGCTGCGCGTGGCGCTGAGCCGGATGGGCTGCAGTCCGCCGCTCGACGGCGCCGGCTCCGAGCCCGGCGGCAGGTTTCGCCGGTGGGGCGGCACGTAGCCGCCGCCGCCCGTCTTCGGGGGCTCCGGGGCGGGCGCCACCGGTGCCGCCGGCTTCACCGGCTCCGGCTCCGGCTCTGGTGACGAGTCGCGCGTGCCTGCCAAGCAAACGTGACACGTTACGACCGCCTAATCGATATCATACCGATATCATAATGTTAACCCGCGCATGACCGGGGGTGGGGGTTCTACAGAACCTCCTCCCATTTTTCTGCAATATCTTCTAAACCGCTTGACGTACCTATCAACACAAACTTGCAGTACCTTCAGCCGCATTAATTTGACATCTTGTGTTCAAACGTCGGCTTTCAACCAACGTTTTAATTTTGACAATCGGCAGTGGTTTCGGAGATAGGAGAGGGGAGGGCTCTGTAGAGCCCTCTGCCCCCTCCCCCCCACACACACACATGGTCAGTCGCGTTATGAAGAATGCCCCAGTCATGCGCCATAATGTCATGAAAGCCATAATGTCCTACCATCCAGATAAGATATATTTCAATTCCATCTAGATGACATTGTCTTGAAAACCAAGGAAGACCCAAAAATGTCGCCAGCCTCAAGCACCATCAACAGGGAGCAGACGCTGCTGGCAAGATGCTTACCCCGCGTTCAGAATCTTTCGGACGACGCAGAATTTTCGTCGTCCGAGAAACTCCGAACGCAGGGATAATCTAGCAAAAAAAGAAGAACCATCGTTTTATATCACAGCCACACAACACCTGGCACTATTACCCACATCACATCATCAGTACAAACTAGGTGTAGGTGAGCAAACCCTGCATGGGTGACTTGAAAGGATAGTTTACTAGGCAGATAATATATTGCCTCTTCATTGCTTCCACTCCCATCTTGTCTAAAATGACTGAGTGATGAAACATAAACAGCCACAGATTCAAAACAAATTAGCCCCATCAGCCAAGTATGGATGATTCTACAGCAAGCACACAAAAAAAAGCTGTAGGTGCAGATACAGCTTAACTGTATGATGAGCTGCATGGTTAAGTGGAGCAGCAAAATGAGCAGCATGTGCAAAATGAGCAGTATGTACAAAATGAGGCATCATGTTATCTCACTGGATAACAGATAATATGGCAAACACCACAGGTAACTATCAAAATAGCATACACTCTTAAATCTTAACTTACCTTTGTCCTTGTTGCGGTTCCAGACACCAGTCTGGGCAGCAGTTGGATTGCCGTCGGCATCCAGGGCCTGTCCAGCACCTTCCCTCTCCTCCTCCTGCTGAGGCAGGTCCTTAATGTTGAGTGCAGAGAGGTCCACCTGGACCTCTTCCTCCTCCTGCCACTCATCCACCGGCTCCTAGAGAGTAAACACCAGTGCAGGTGTCATTGATATGTAAAAATGGAACAGACCCAAAGCAGGAAATTTATAATGCAAGGCATGGGAGCATCCATTGCAAGCCTGTCTCTCAGTAAGGCTAAATCAGCCCAACCATTACCAGTCAATAACATGTTTTCATTTTCATTTTGCTCACAGACTATGTAAATATTGGCAAAAATGGTTAGGGTTGGGGGCCTCACACTAGCTGTGTCAAATCTGTTAAACTCAACTAGAAGGACAATGAAAATAGCTTAAAGGGACCCTCCCACCTTTAAAAAAGTTTATGAATTGGCATGAAAGTGATGTCGCTCGGTTCAGAAAGAGCGAAAACGAATATCTACCAAATTTCACCGAAAAATATTCACCGGTTTTCAAGATACTAGACTTTTACTTTTGTTTACTTTTTGGGATCTCCGCTGTTCCTAGCGACTTTATTTAAAAGTGCGGCATTTGTTGCGCGCAACGCAGCATATACCACCGCGTGCTACAAAACGTTTTAGTCAAACATTTAACGGACGTTCGAAAGCCTGATGACGTCATCAGATTTAAGTGCCTATACCAATACATTGTGGCACTTATTTGCACAGATGTCAAAATCAAACTCAAATTTCTTTGCGATGAAGTAATTGCTGGAGAAACGGTTTTCACGGCACTGATTTTCAAAGAACGTCCATCAAGATGGCTATCTCAACTCAAATCTAATGTTAAGGTGGGACAGTCCCTTTAAGCTGAAGCCCACTGCAGCAGGTTTCAGCTTTCAAATCACGAAAATATCACAGAGGGTATAATGTACTGCGATAAAATAACCACTAGACTATAACTGTACTTAGCTTCTGAATGTTTAAATATGCGATTGCCAAGGAACTTTTAATACAAAAAACAGCTATTGCTCAATGTCCTGCCAATTAAAATTGAGGGTAGAATACCAACGAGATAACAGTCATTGGCAAGAAAACAAGATTGGTGTGCAGTTACATAATATTTTACCACCCACCGTCCCATACAAAAAGACAATAGGAAGGGGAAAAAGGGAAAAATTAAGCAAAAAATTATATATTTCAATTTTTATGATATCAAAATGTTAGCCAACAATTTCTAGATCAACTGCGCCACTTTTGCCTCAAAATAAAAAATAAGTTTTTACGCAACCACCCATGAGCAATCAATACCTGTATTGTAAAAATTTGATGATAAATTGAAAAAAGCCTTTTCACCTTTTTGTGGTTGGGGTCATCCTTTGCCAGCTGTTCCTCTCTCATTCGTTCCCTTTCAAGTTCCTCGCGTCTCTCCTTCTCTTTTTGCTTTTGCTCCGCTTCCTCGAGTTTCTGAGCCATTTCTTCTGGAACAAACTTTTTCGGCTTCGATTTTTTCTTGTCCTTCTTTGCGAAAAATCCCTCTAAGTCAGCCATCGTGGCAGGTTTATTATCCGACCGCAATATGCCGTCAGACGCCTGCAACACGACACCACTCACGAATGCTCACGAAAAGCAAGACGAAAAGGCTCGTGTTAGTTGCCCAACAGCTGATATCGTACGGGCTACCATATGACCCGTAATGCGTCAGCGTATTTACAAATTGCAACCGAGCTCCGCCGTAGGGTATTTTTTTCCGCCGTAGTGTATTTCACTTGGGGGATTTTCTACCATACATCTGCCTGAGCTTATGGTAATTACAATTTGTCCGCGACGTTCAAAAATGATGCACCTTTTTTCGCAGTATAGGATATCGCATGTGCATATTTCTGCCTTTTTGGGTGCGCTTTATCGGTTTTTCGTGAGTAACTCGCGTAAAAACCGTCCGATCGCGACGAAACTTTCAATACCCCCGATTTTATCAATTTTACACCTACCCTGAAAATTTCATGACCCTGACCCAAATGACCTTTGATCTGTGACCTATTTCTCGAGACCATGTTTGGCCCGAATCGCGACTCGGCGTATGTCGGCTCGCATTAGCCGCGCGGTTGCAGTCTTCACGTAGTTTCAAGCATTGAAACATGTGATATGATGCTGGTCCCATGCATTATGGTGGGTGTCAATGTCACCTGAAGGTCAGGTCAGCGCAATGACCTTTGATGACCTCGGTTCACTTTTTCGAGTTTTACATGTTTCTAGGCTAGTTTTTGGAGCTGATTTCGAATTTAGCAACCATTTGAGCATCACAGGGGTTGTAACGAAATTATCCGGACGCCTTTCTTCCCGCTGTAAAAGCAAAACAATCTGGTACTTTTTCTTTTAACTGAGCTTGTAGCCACCTTTCATAAAAAAACACAGTTTACTCACCTCGTTTACTCACCTCGTTGGTTTCTGCATATCTTTGGAGTGGTTTCAAAGGACAGTCAGAGAGGAAATGAGGAACCCACACAGTGGCGAATGTTCTGGAGCATTTCAGCCAATGGATTCTCCAGCACACTGGCTTTGATGCGGACCAACGCCGTCTAAACCTGTGCCTGCGGTTGAGCAGTGCTTATGGCGGGTGGCTCTTCATATACCTCCTGCTTAACAAGAGCCCACAGGTTTTCGATTGAATTGGGATCGCGACTTTTTCCAAGTCATAAGCGTTAGCCCAGAATGATTGAAGGTTCTATCGGCATCACTTCCCGTTCTTTTAGGGACTTTTAAGTAGCGCGCCGCCACGCATGAAGACAGCGTGGCTTGAATCAGGCATCAGTGCGCGTTCAGAAACCGTGCCCTGATTGATGCCGTCTGGTTGAGCGCCTCCAATCATGCTCCACCACCTTCCCTGGAAAAGCTTCACCCTTGCCTATAGGGCAAAATATAAGGGACAAAACACAAAACAAGACAGATTAGATAAAAACAAAGCAAAATTAACTCATTACCTAAAGAAATTCAGGCTGGAGCAAAAACATAGGTAATAGGTATCTATGTCAAATTAAAATGAAAGATTAAAATCAACCTGACCAGGCCTTATGGTCTGACCTGGTCCTAACCACCTTACTTCGCCTAACTTGACCCAATTCATCCTAGCCTACCACAACACCTGCAGAGGTACCTTCCTGGAAAAAATGACGCCCAAGGCGATGGCTGTCCAACTTATTGGAATACTACCAAGTGATTGCTTGTCAAAATGTGTGTCATCATGCTCTTGTTTGACAAGTGATGTATAATAACTGTGATATTTAATAATTATCTCCTGACTGTTGACTGTTGAGTAATCAAAATATTCAAATAATCAGGGTACAATCCTGTGCATAGTGCACACTAATCATGTTGTTTTTGTGTAGGCCCTCTGCACATTGTTGTGTGCACTGCTATGTGCACCTTAAGTAAAAAAGTGACTGGTGGTACATGGCAAAAGGTTGAGCAACTGTGAAGTTCATGCCCTTGGTCTTGCTGGTGCCAAATGCCTATAGCTATAGCAGGATCAGTGAGGGTTGTAGACATGCTACATACATTGTGCATTGAAGATATTGGCACAAAGTTCATCTGTAATTACTATGCTTAACACCTAATGTAAGAAGCGACATAAATGCCCAGATGATAAAGCTCTCTGGTCAACATCACACAAATTTATTGACATACTTTGCAGGTACATATTTACATTCATGGCAAACACTTTCGATTTGATTCAGAAACTAGTTGCTAGTAAGCTTGCATTTTTGTAGGTACAACAACGACCATATATTAAATCATAAAAAACCTCATGGCATTCATCACATACCTTTTTAACAAACAAGTACCTTATACCTAGCTACCATGCAATGAATCTAAAATTTGTCCGCAATCCATCTATATCTCAACTGACACAATGAATTTCAAATACCCTAACAAACCTATAACTGTACATAAGAAGAATGCAATACTATAACAATTATGAATTTCTGAAGTTATTCTCACATGCTGGAATGTTGAAACTCTACTTTTGTCGTCCATTTCCATGTTTGATTGAGCCATCATATAGAACTGTTTTCGTTCTTCAGTCACAAGCTTTCCCACCAATCTTGAATTTTTACACATCATCTTGAACCATGCTCCAGTCTTTCCAACAAGGTACTATGTAACATCAAAGCAATTTTGACTTGTTACAACAGCTTCAGATCATGATAGGCTTGAGGTTTGTTACACCATTTGCCAGACAAATCTCTACAAAATGTGTATCAATTCCCAAACTAAGTAATTGATCATATCAGTATTTGCAGTTTCCACACAATGTTTCATAATACTATTCTATGTTTATATTAAGAAACTCAAATAATCCACAAATTGTTATTGAAACACTCCCACTTGAAGAATTCACAGCAATGACAGTACAAGTTTAGAACACTGAACGTTCAGAAGCAAACAAACATTGCGCCACATTTCGTATGAAACGCGCCATCGTCCTGAAGTTTCTACCACAGACGGTAGTTTAACCGCAGCCGTAGTGCGAAAACCCCTGCCCACCTTACCCCACGGCGGAGCTCGGTTGCAATTTGTAAATACGCAATGCGTCACTAGGTCATAAAGGTCACATAGGGGATGCATAGGGGATTTTACTACCAGCGCCTTTGAGTCGATGATTTAGCATCAGGGGTTCGGAGCCGGAGCAGAGGCTTCGCCACAGGGGGGTACGCAGGGGTCCGGACCAAGGCCATATATAGGTCCGGACCCCCCAATAATTTACCTGGGGGTACAGTAGCCCCCAATATTCCACATGCGGTATTCAAAATATGAAAATAGCCTTGTTATGCAAATCATGCAAATACAGCAGCAACGTGCACCAATCCCATCGTCTTTTTTCTTCCACCCGTATTTAATTGCATAGGGGATGCTGAGTATTGGCGCCGGAGCCGGAGCCGGAGCCACCGGAGCCGGACCATTTTACTCGGAGCCGGAGAAGGAGCTGGAGGCCGCCATGGTATTTCACCTGGAGCCGGAGCCCGAGCCGGAGCCCTCTGAAATTTCCACGGCTCCGCATCCCTGTTTAGCATGCATCGGAATTCGGAAATACAACACATCTGAAATTTGGTGGCCCTTAGGCTTACGGTTCTTACGCCTAACATTGTGCCGGTTTTGGTGACCTGGCGACCTGACCTGAAATTTTCAGGGAAGGTGCCAAGTGGCAATTTGTTTGCATAAAACCTAGGGTGGGGGGTAGCATCACCCCCCATTGCACGGCGAGGGTTAAAAGGAAAAGTCTGTGAGGAAAAGTCGAAAACAAGAAAATTTTCTCACATTACCGACTTTTCCTCACAGAAAATTTTCTTATAGTTCTTCTGAATGCTTGAGACGAGGTGTTAGTATCACTGATGTTAGTTGTCGGACTTTCGTCCCCGTCTTGAGTTGAGATGTTAGTTTCACAACGTTTCGGCCAGTTACTTCTCCGGCCGTCGTCAGGTGTTCTTTGGCCCTTAGAAGGACCTGGATGTTGGTGGCGTTGCGCCGTACGCGTCATACCGTTCGAAAGCTCCTGTAGTCAGCGGGAATCGAACTCGGGTTTCCCCGGTGATAGTCCACGGTTCTAACCACTCCACTATCGAGGCAGACATCGTTATGGAGCTGGAAACTTGGTGTCATTTATCCCCCAGATGTTTTTGTGATTTCCTTAGTAGTGGGAGCCATATTGGGCTGATGTCAACGCTTGGCTTGCTGATGGGGTTGCTAGCCAGCGCCATGTGTGCGGCTTCCTTGATTTTTCTGATTTTCCAGTGTGGCTCCTTGTCGATGATGGTGGTATCATCCCAAGCAGGTCTGTGATCTCCTTCAGACCATGCATGCTCCGCCACACCGGATTTCAGTGTTTCGCCTCGGATGGTGGCCTTCCTGTGTTCTTCGAGCCTGACCGCCAGTGGGCGGCCAGTCTCGCCCTTGTATGACCTGCCGCAGCTGCACGGGATTTACTCCCACTACTAAGGAAATCAGAAAAACATCTGGGGGATAAATGACACCAAGTTTCCAGCTCCATAACGATGTCTGCCTCGATAGTGGAGTGGTTAGAACCGTGGACTATCACCGGGGAAACCCGAGTTCGATTCCCGCTGACTACAGGAGCTTTCGAACGGTATGACGCGTACGGCGCAACGCCACCAACATCCAGGTCCTTCTAAGGGCCAAAGAACACCTGACGACGGCCGGAGAAGTAACTGGCCGAAACGTTGTGAAACTAACATCTCAACTCAAGACGGGGACGAAAGTCCGACAACTAACATCAGTGATACTAACACCTCGTCTCAAGCATTCAGAAGAACTATAAGAAAATTTTCTGTGAGGAAAAGTCGGTAATGTGAATTTTGATCCATCTGGATGGATCAGTTGTTTGCTGAAGTACATACAATCCATACATACTGAAGTACATACGATGTAGTTTTGTAATCATTTTGACAAGTCAAGCTCCGCTTGGTGCTAAGGACTTACCTATCTATTCCCAGCAAACATGCCCACATGGTTCCCATATGGGGCCCACATGGGCCCCCCACCTCTTACATATGGGTCCCGCGTGGGCCACTCATGTGGGCCCCACATGGGAATGGCAGTGGGTGACACGTGGGACCCATATGGGCCAGCCCACGTAGGCCCCATATCCCGCGCCCCACTGGGGGGGCTATTTATAGCCCCCCTCCCGTTTTTCTGCAATAACTTCCAAACCGCTTGACCGATCGACACCAAACTTTCAGGACCTTCGGCTGCATCAATTTGACACCTTGTGTCAAAATTTGAACTTCGTAGCTACCATAGGTCGGCCGGAAATGACGTCAGAGTGACGTCATGTTCGTCCGATTTCGACGCAAAACATTGAACCACGGCAATCGCTCCCAAGAGCTCAGTTTTTAAGCTAGATCCAATTTCTTTGCATGAAAGGACTCAGAATTGACCGCGCTATCAAACTGCTACCTCGGATTTTCAAAATTTTGAAAATTTCGAAAATTTTATATAATAATATTCAAAATTTATATTTTTATATTTTTTTCAAAAAGTTTTTGACTTTTCGAAAAAACCGGAATATATGTGACAGCACGCATGATGTTGACTAACTCTAGCAAGTTTTAGCTAAATATCTTCAAAAATGGCCAAGTTATACGCATTATTGCAAAAAATTCGCAATTATTAATTTTTCAAATCAATTTTTCAGTACGTATTTGACATCGTACACCAATATAAATGGCACCATCGTGTTCCTGAGCTCAAACTGCATCCATTAGACACCTTTTTTTGTTGAAAAATGTAAACTTCAAAATTTGACCTTTTTTGACCTGAAAGTGACCTGACCTAAGCGAAATTCGACTCCAAATGACCTCGAATGACACAGACGACATCAAATTCGAAATCTATGGCCTAAATGGACCATAAAACATGTGTCACGTGACCGACGCATGATATAATATTTTCGTGACCTGTGATGACCTGACCCTGACCTGAAAATCAAAGTACAAGTTTGGTACCCTCAAAGTATCTAGAGCATCTCTTCACGAGTGTGGAAACCAAAAATGAGCCTGATCTGACTTGTAAGACGGCGGCCAGAGCCCAAAATGTGAACAAGCCAAAATGCTAATAATTTTTACTTTGACCTGACCTGTGACGTCATCGGTGACCTCGAGGTCAATGAAATTAGGTTTCGCTCGACAGTTTTTCCGGGGCTATCAGACGCCGTTTGAATTTTGACGATCGGCCTAGTAGTTTCGGAGTTAGGAGGGGGGGCTATGAATAGCCCCCCCCCCCCCAGTAGGGCGTGTTATACACAGACCCCAGTGGGGCGCGGGATATGGGACCCATGCGGCGCCCACATGGGACCCATATGGGCCAGCCCCATTAGCGTCGCCACGGGGGGGGGCAAGCGGGGCAGCTTGCCCCCCCCCCAACCTCGGACCGGGCACACCCTGAGATCGATACAGATCCGATGAGATTTTGGAGTCGGGAAAAAATGGGGGTACCTTTCTGAGAATGCCTGTGAGGTCAGACTCGGTTGGAGCGTGCAATTCAAACCAGAGTCTGACTCGCAGTCGCCAAAATCTTCAAGACTCCGAGTCCAGACTCGGAAATGTCAATGCTGTGATTTATTTCATGTTCCTAGTTCGTTCTTTATTACATTTTACAGCTGATTTTCATAAGTTTTGGAGTGCTGACACAATTTTCGTTCAAAGCGTGAAACGAAATCTTCGCGGGGCCTTTCTCAACCCTCGTCAAATGTCTGCGACAGGCTCAAGTACCGTACAAGTGTCGCAGGGCTCATGAGCTTGCTTTAAACAAAGGCTCCTAGGGAGCTCCACTGAGCCCTAAAGAAGCTTTCAGAGGGCCCAAACCGGCCTCTGAAAGTCCCACTGGTGTCCATGTTCTCTGAGGGCCCATACAGGGATCTTTGAGCCTTCGAACATTTCTGAGAACCTTAACTGGCCTCTGATAGTTCAGCCAAAACTTTTGAGGCGACAAACTTTGCTAACTCCAAGCCGGCATCTGAGGGGTCACAGCTCACGTGTCCCTCTGAGGACGTCCGCAATATTATGTCCCTACGTAGGGTCCTTAGGGATTCGACACAGACCCCGAGGGTTCACACTGTTATCCGAGGTCTCCAGGCTCACCCTGGGCCTAGTCTCTTAGCACCCGCCGCCCACACTGGCTTCTGAGGGCCCCACTTTGGGCTCGGAAAGCCCTAAAGCACCACGTACACGTAAATATTTGAGGTGACCCACGCCGATCTCCGGGATCCTAAGCATGCTTCTGAGAGTCAGCACTGACCCTGAGTGGCCTGAAATGGCCTGGAAGTCCCAAGCCTATCTCTAAGAGATCCCTTGCCGCTATGCCGTGCGTAACTTTTGGTTCCGTTAAACAGTTTTTGTTCGCGTTTGCAGCGCTTCCTTCACACGAAAAACGAGAAACTTTTGTTCACACTCGAGTGAACAAAACACTTCCTCTCACTGGAGCAAAGATGAATTACTTCCAATTCACACTTCCGACATTCACTCTCCGCCGAATGCCCAACTTAGCTACGATCGGCGGCTGGGATAAGTCCTATGCATTTCACGTAAAACCTCTGCATGCATGCGTGAATGGAGGTTTTAGCAGGGTGATCCGATTAAATGGAGCGTTTTTCACCTTTTTCTGGGTAATGATCATGAGCGTCGAGCGTCTGCACAGGGACCCTCTGCAGTGCGTCGGTTATCGCAGCCACAATATACTATAATTCTACCAGTCGTTTTTGTCATGAAATTTAAAAATTTCGAATTTTTCTGTAGAAAAATTACATGTCATAGCTAGAAGGACACCTTTGCCACCATCGGATTCCTCGCACCATTGCGCGTCAAATGATATGTAAAACGAGTGAGTAAAGACTGGGGAAAGGCAAGTTATAACACAAAAGTTGATTTTGCCCCCCCAACCGAAAATCTCTGGCGACGCCTATGGCCAGCCCACACTGACCCCATATGGGACCCATTTGCCACCCACCTGGGAGTCCACATGGGACCCATTTGCCACCCACATGGGACCCATTTGCCACCCACATGGGACCCATTCGCCACCCGCATGGGCTACCCCACACTGGCCCCACATGGGACCCACTCGCCACTCAGCACCCGCCCTGTCCTACAATGCCTGCCCCACCCGGCCCCATATACGCCACCCACCTGAATCTATGTAAACCCAATCCACGTTACGCTCCCATTTGAAAGTGTCCCTCCCAGCCTGACGTTCAGCGGTGCTCTCGCACTGTCCGTCAATGTGCGATGTCATGCGAGACGAAATATGCTTCCTTCCAGCACTTTATTCCCATAAAAACAACATACATCAGGCACAGTCCTGTATTTCTTTCTGCGCTCATCGAGACACAAGTCACTGGGCGGGCGGACGGCCTCGCCCCCGGTCTGATCGCTGGCCGTCACGGTCGCGGCAGTTTGTCAGCCACTTGCCGACGGCCTTTTCGAGATCCTTTTCTTGGCAGGTCACCGTCGGGTTCAGGTTGACAGCGTCTGTGAAATAAATAGGGCACACTAAGAAAGCCACAATGTAAGCACATTATCTGATAATCGTTGAATGGACAGTCATTATAAAAAAAAATTGGAAGCCAGGGAGCCTCCTTATTTTACTACCGTTGCTGAATTTCCATGAATCAAAAATGGATAGTTTGAGGACCAAAATCGGGGAAACATTTTGCAAGAGCTTTTTGAACGAACCGTCACTATCAACTTGTTAACTTTTTTGCGAAGTGAAAAGTCCTGGGAAATACCTACGAGTATGGAAGTGAACGTTGAGGATAATGTGGGAAAAACGTGTTGACTTTATGAAGTTTAAAGAAAAGATCCAGGAAAGTTTTGTTATTGGAGGCCAATTCGAAACGGCGCACACATTGAAACATTGAGGATATTGATGCGATTTTTGCGATTATGCGATTATTGCGATTATTGCGATTATTGATGCGACACATTGAAACATTGAGGATATTGATGCGATTCAAAGCGTGCACACATTTCGTACATTGACATTGAGGGGCGATAGCGGGAGAACGGTGTCGAACTTCGAGAATCGGTCTTCAGCTCCTTGAACAAAAAGGTGGGGCCTACGAAATATCAAATTTCAACATGACATTGTCACTTTAACTAATATTCGAAACAAACATTAAATGTTTCCCGTAATTTTCGCAGCCACTTCAAACGGAGGACCAGAGACCGACTTTGGCTAGTTTTGATACAGACGGTGCGGAACGAGGAGCGCGATGTTTACTCATTAAATCGAACATCAACGCTGGTGTCAAACCATTTGTGACTGATGTCACGCATGGAACCTTTATTATGCTTTTCTAATTGACAAATTACTTATTTGAATGACCCATTCCCATGGTCGAACAGATTGGTGTGACCACCAAACTGTAAGGTACTCACGGAAGATCACCCGGAACAGCTTGGTCTTCCAAAGGCCGACCTTCCCGTGGCTTAATAAGGCTTTATTGGACACGCACACCACTCAGAGTCTGAACGCCAACTGGCCCGCCCAGACGCCGCAGCCCCGACAGCCGACCGGCCGGTCGGCCGGTCACCGCCCCGGGCGGTGCAGAGGCGGCCCCAGGCCCCGTCCGGTGGGCCGAGCTCCGCCGGCGGGTCGCCCGCGCAGGGGCGGGCTCAGGCGACACAATCATACGACACAATCACAACATTGACTATCCAATATCAGCCGTAGCTGGTCTCACAAACATCAACTATGCGACTTCCTCACGACGTCGAAGTGTATTTTGGAGGCATGAGAGTCTGAGACTACATAAACAGCGAGTTCTTGTTTCTTGTAATATCATACACATTGGACAGTGAAAAAATAAATAATGGGCTGCCCACATCCAGCCCACCTACACCCCACTACATGGGCTGCCCACGCAGTGCCCATGTTAAGCCCACCATACAGGAACACCGCGTGAATGCCTGTGTTCACCAAAATTCCTGGATATGCCCTCGTACATGGTGCAAGCAATCTCATTATCAATCATTATGCCTGCCAAAAAATGTGGGCAGCCCATGTGGGGCCCACATGCAGCCCACATATTTGCCCATCTCTAGCCCATGGCCCACCTAGCCCACCATGCCCATCAACTGCCCATGTGGGGCCCACATGGGCATGCTGGCTGGGCGTTTGCCCATTTGGGCCCCATGTGGGCCCCGGAAGGGTGTGCCCAGCTTGCTGGTGCCCAGTCTGCCCACATGCTGCCCGCATCCAGCCCAGATAGGTGTCGGGTCAGTTAACAAAGTTTTGTAGTAAAGTTCGCCCATTTGGGCCCCATGTGGGCCCCGGATGGGTGTGCCCAGCTTGCTGGTGCCCAGTCTGCCCACATGCTGCCCGCATCCAGCCCAGATAGGTGTCGGGCCAGTTACCAAAATTTTGTAGTAAAGGAAATGTTCATATCCCAGCAAACATGCCCACATGGTTCCCATATGGGGCCCACATGCCCCCCCCCCCACCTCTTCCATATGAGCCCCACATGGGAATACCAGTGGGTGACACGTGGGAACCACATGGGCCAGCCCACGTAGGCCCCATATGGGACCCACGCGGCGCCCACATGGGACCCATATGGGCCAGCCTACATTCACCCCATATGGCATCATGTAGGAATTTGATATACTTGGAGTCCAAAATACACATGAACAACAGCCACCTTTTTTGCTTTTATGCACTTGGAGTAACTTAAATGGGGCCCACATGGGTGATCCATATGGGACCCACATGGGATGCCCATCTCCAGCCCACATGCGTTTGGCCCACCTGTCCCATTTTTATCCCATATGGGGCCCATATGGGTAGCCCATCTGTAGCCCATGTCCCATGTGGGCCCATCTGGCCCATGTTCACCCCATATGGGACCCATGTGGGCATGTTTGCTGGGTTGGTAGCCCACGAGCCGAATTAGAAACCGTAGTCTTCGCCATGGTAAGGGAGGAGGGCTCAATCATTCTGTTCTTCGTGCAGCATAGTCGGCGAAGAGCTTCAGCTTGCCTCCTTCTTCACTTCGTGAGTGATAGTATTGAGATCGATGGCCGAATAGCAGACTACTGTGTGACTCGATATGTCTGCGTAGTTTTTGTAGAAATATCCTAATTAGGGTTAAAGAGTTCATTGATGCCTACACACCAGACGAGAGACTGGCTGATCCAGAAAGACGGTCTTGCTGCGGAGGATACTTCCCCAAGTCTCCAAATTCCAAAAACCCATTAGATTTTGATTTTTTACGCACTTCAGAGCAGTTTTAATTAACCCGCGCGCCACTGGGGGGGGGGGGGGGCTATTCATAGCCCCCTCCCGTTTTTCTGCAATAACTTCTAAACCGCTTAACGTATCGCCGCCAAACTTTCAGTACCTTCGGCTGCATCAGTTTGACACCTTGTGTCCAAATTTGAACTGAGTATCTATCATAGGTCGGCCGGAAATGACGTCAGAGTGGCGTCATGTTTGGCCGAGTTCGACGCAAATCATTGAACCACGGCAATCGCTCCCAAGAGCTCAGGTTTTTTTAGCTAGATCCAATTTCTTTGCATGAGAGGACTCAGAATGGACTGTGCTATCAAACCGCTATCTCAAATTTTCAAAATTTTGAAAATTTTGATTATATTATATACTATCAAAATTCAAAATTTGTAATTTTAACTTCTTTTCCAATTTTTTTGCTTTCCGATAAAAAACGGAATATATATGATAGAACACATGCTTATGACTTACTCTAGCAAGTTTTAGCCAGATATCTTAACCCGCGCGGGGCTGGGGTCTCCAGCCGAACGCGCGGGGCTGGGGGGGGGGGGGGAGTAAATTTACCCCCCCCCCCCTGTTATCTCCCGAACTAATGGTCCGATTTGGAAAATTCAAACGCCAGTCGAAAGCTCTCATCACGAACTACTAAAAACATGTACTTAATTTAAAGTTTGAGGTCAAGGTCAAGGTCAGGTCAAGGGTACAAATTGCAAGTTTCTACAGTATCGGCCTTGCACCGTAGTTGCCGAAGAATGGAGTCATGGACTGAGACTGATCGCCCAAAACGTGTTCTTAGGCTACCAAGACAATATTCGTTGCATACAATATCATTCAGAGGTCAAGGTCAAGGTCAGGTCAGGTCAGGTCAGGTCAGGTCACCAAAAAACAAAATATAGAAAAGGGCATGTGCGACACATGTTTTATGGGTCATTTTACTCATAGAATTCAATAGGCACACTCAATAAGTGATATGGACCACCTCTGGATGAATTTCAGGTCGAGGTCAGGTCAAGGTCAGGTCAAGTGAGGTCAAATTTTGAAGTTGGTTGTTAAGGCCTAAAAAGGTGTCTATCTGATGCAGTTTTTCACGGCGAATCGAATGGTGCTATTTTTGTTTCCGTACGAGGTCTAGAATTTCCAAAAAAGTCATTTTTCAAAAAATTTGTGTGTCGTGACGTCATAAAATTTTGAATAACTCCCACATTTTTGAACCGATTCTTCTAAAATTTGGTATGTAGGTGCACATAGACCACTTCTCTGACATATATTCCGGTTTTTTCGATAGACTCAAAATTTTGGATTTTATAATGATTTTCCCAAAAAAATCAGTTTTTTGAAAAAAATTAGGCCAAAATCCAAAATTTTCAAAAAACCGAGATAACCATTTGATAGACCAAGTAAAATTACGTATAACCTTTTTTGTTACGTCTTGATTCCTTTAAAAATGAAGATGTTACCGGCGTTTGAACTTTTGCCGTTTTTGAGGCGAAAATGGCGAACATGACGTCACTAAAACGTCAATTTCTCAAAAATTTTCCGACGGATTTCGCTCAAATTTTCAGGGAACGTGTCAAATTGATGTAAGAAAAGGTACTGAAAGTTTGGCGGCGCTGCACGCCGCCGTTTTTGAGATATCGCAAAAATTCGCAAGGGGGGGTAAAATTTACCCCCCCCCCCCCAGCCCCGCGCGGGTTAAAAAATGGCCATGTTATAGACATTATACCAAAAATTTCAAAATTTTACATTTTTTAAATCAATTTTTCTGTACGAATTTGACATCGAACGCTAATATAAATAGTACCATCGTGCTCCTGAGCTCAAACTGCATCCGATAGACATGTTTTTTATTGAAATATGTCAACTTTGAAATTTGACCTTTTTTTACCTGAAAGTCACCTGACCTCAGCTCAATTTAGGTGAAAATGGCCTCAAATGACACAGGCGACATCGAATTTGAAATCTATGGCCTAAATAGACCATAAAATATGTGTCACGTGACCGACTTATGACATAAGATTTCCGTGACCTATGATGACCTGACCCTGACCTGAAAATCAAAGTACAAGAAACCGTCGTACCATGAAAACTTTCAACAATCCTCTTTTGAATGACATATTCATAATTCTCCTGGCGTAATTACTTTCCGACATATAACGATTCTGTATCGTCTCATTTTTTTTTAAACACCCTGTATTGCAATCTGGTAGCCGTATGGGTACGTCAATGTATAGGAGCACACACACACACACACACACACACACACACACACACAAATTACACTCTTCGGTTCATCGGAGCCAAGTACTCCCATCAACCCTCGCCCTGGCAGGGGGGGGGGTTCGATGCGACCCCCCTAAGGTTTTCGAAGATAACGTAAAAACGACTGCGCGCAGCGCCGCCAAATTTAGCACAGCCTATGCGGCAGCCTTTTTACATATGACCTGAAAATTTCAGGTCTGGGTGACCTTGGGTCAGGTCACCAGATCAGGAAAACCGGTACAAGGTCATGGTCAAATTTCAATTTTCTTTTTACACCTGTCCAACTCACAGTTTTGGACTGATTTCCTTCAAACTTTCAGAATGTGCTACGTTCACCGAGTTGTATAACATATAGTTCGGGTTTTTTGAGGTCACTGACCTGAGGTCAGTTAGAGGTCATTCGTCATAAAGTTAAGCCTATGGAAAAATACTAAATTAAGAAAATACTGGAGATATCCGCTTCGTTCTATCACTTTTGTGCTTTGAAACCACATTACTTAACAGCAGGTCACTTGGTGCTTCTTTGTTTGGTGTACTTATCCATGGGTCAGGTCAAATGAGGTCAACTGAGGTCAAATGACGTTTTTGCCAATAACTTGGCACATAATGAAGCTAGAGCTTAAAAATGGTGTCATTGTGTTCCTGGTGATCAGCCGAATCGAATGATATGCGATATGATGCAATTTGGTTAACATGAACTTAATTGATTAATTAACCCTCGCACGACCAGGCCATTTCTCATAGCACGAACGACCAGGGGGGGGGGGGGGGGTTGTTACGACCCCCCCCCCTGGCGTTTCGAAACGGAAGGTCGTAGAGCTTAGCGGAAAAAACCAACGGATTGCTCTCAACGAGATCTCGCGATTGGTGGTATATTTTTTGGTCCTAGGTCAACATTTGACCTACTTTTGACCGGTCAAAGGTCAAATTTTCGGAAAAATAGACTTTTTTCAACTTTCGGCGGCGATTGCGGCAAAACGGTGGGAGATATCGACTTGAAACCTTCACTATCGTGTTTCTTGATCAATTCTCTATCGTTTGGTATGTATTTCGTTTCCCTAGCTCTAAAAATGGCGCGTTGGGAGCGCCGGAAGTCGGCAAGGTCACAGTCGGCGGCAGAAATTCGAAAAATCAAAATTTAAATTTTTGAAATCTGATTGTATTTTTGGATTTGGGAGGTCCATTTGCTCCCTATAGAAGCTAATATTGCTGCATATTCCCATTGAGGTGACAAGAATTAGCAAAATAGTGGTTC